TTTGGTCTCAGTGGAGGCAGGGAATGGAGAAACATGCAGTAGCAAAGACACAAGAGTTATTGATGTGTTAGAAACCCCAGAAGCACCAGAGATTTACACAGGAATGAGGACTTCTAGCCCACAAGAGCTGGCATGATCTATAACTCAACTGAAGCACATCTGCACTAATGCACACAACCTGGGCAATAAACTTTCAGTATGCAAACTAGCAGCTGTGTAGCCTAAAAGTCAGCAAATACATATTTCTGAATTTACCTCGTCCGCTATTATCAACATCAGCAACACACAAACAGCCTTGGTCAAACTCTTCCTTTTCTCCAAGTGTGGTGGACCACCAGTCTCTCGCTTTGAACAACGACATTCTTCTTTACTGAAAAGGAAACAAACCACTAGTAAAGTATATACAAATATACATACACCTCTGTATAGAAACTAGTAAAGTATATACAAATATATATACACACCTGTGTATACAAACAACCTCGTTATCAACAACTTTGATTTAGTATGTTTCTTATATTCTTATATTCCTTTTAGCTTTGCATTGCTCTAGTCTGAGCTGCATACACACTGACTGAAGGAATACCAGCTTTTTTAATTGTTAAACGCCCTCTGTAAAGTATAGTAAGAAAGTAAAATATACACACAGAAAGTAAAACATACACACAACCTCGTATACAAACAACCTCATTATCAACAACTTTGATCTAGTATGTTTCTTATATTCTTATATACCTTTTAGCTTCGCATTGCTCTAGTCTGAGCTGTGTACACGTTGACTTCAGGTGTCTTGGGTTTCTGGTTATGTAACTCAGAAAACAACCCTAGGAAACTTCTTGTCCTCAGTTTGGAAATTAGTTATGATAGCCACTGATTGCTACTTAAAGAAAATACAAAGGAATACCAGCTTTTTTAATTATTAAACGCCTTCTGTAACTAACATTAAGAAAGTAAAACAAGATTTCAAAGTCACAGAACTGAGATTTTGTCTCTTACTAAGGAGTATCAGAAAAAGAAAAAGATTCTGATGCAAGTCTCATGCAAGAAAACTTATTTTTAGGCATAGAAAGACAACATCAAAACCTCCAACAAGTAATCGCCTTGCAGATGCCCTAGTGACACAACTAAAGACCTCAGGGCACAAATCAGCTTTTCTGCTCCATACCTGCTGTTATTTTAAGAAGGGGACAGGCGGAAGAAAAAAAGAGACTAATCCTTTTGTAGGCGGCTCAACAACACCGCTACCCTACCTCAAAACTCACCGCTCCCGGCCCCTGCCCTGCCGTGAGCGGAACAAACCCGACCCGGCAGAGGAGGGTAAGGGGCTGCCAGGCTCCTAAGGACGGGCTCACCCTTTGCCTTCCTCGGAGCAAAGGCAGCCCTGCAAACCACCGTGTTGCTTCTGTAAAACAAACCATGCCTGGAATATAAGCCCTCTATCTTCTCACCTCAGGGGTTGCCGCTGGTACCCGCTACAGCTGCGGGCACGCTGCCGACAACACACCCTCTCCCCCTCACAGATCCTCGGTGCCGCACCCACAGCTTCACACACGAGCCCCACAGCCAGCCGGAGACACACGCCCTGAGGCGGGACAACAGACAGAGCCCGGCGGGTGCTCACCTGGGCGGGAGCCGGCACCTCCCGGGCGTGGTGCAGTCCGAGCTACTCCGGGGCGGCAGTCCCCCTTCCTCGCAGGGACTTCTCACCCAGGCACGGCCTAAAGCGAAACGAAAGGTGAGGCACCAGCCAGCAACGCTACAACCCGCTCCGCCTTGCCCCCGCCATTGCCGCCGTCCCCTCACCGCGCGGTAAGCATCAGCCACGCCGCCCCAACCAGCAGGGGGCGCGGCAGCCGGGAAACGTAGTTTGGGAAGCGGCGCGATGGCCCGTTGGGCTCTCTCATTTCTTCCTGTGCGGGGGCAGGCATGGGGAGGCGAAAGGAAGAAGACATTGGTTTGTGCTCCTGAGAAAAACACCTAACCTCCTAGCTGGTGCTGTTTCCTTTTGAAACCGCTCACAGAAGCCTTTCGTCCTCTGGAGCTCTCTCTCCTTGCTCCTCCACTAGCCGTCACATTCCCTTTCTCCCCCTCTTTTTTCCTCTTGCATGGTAGCGCCGGCCAGGCCACGCGCTCGTGACGTCACTCGGGGAGCCCGCGCCGGGGCTGTGCCGGGTGGGTGAGGACCCGCTCAGGCCGGCTCTGAGGGGGGGGGACGGGAGGGAACTCCCCCCGTGTCCTGCAGCGCCCACAGGCAGCGGCCCCGCTCCGCCGCAGCGGCTTCTCGGTGTGCCCCGGGCGGCCACCATGGATAGGACCGCCGTGGCGAAGATGGGCGCGGTGGCCAGCGCCAGCGTGTGCGTGCTGGTCGGCGGGGTGGTGCTGGCGCAGTACATCTTCACCATGAAGAAGAAGACGGGGAGGAAGACCAAGATCATCGAGATGGTACGTGGTAAGAGGCCCGCTCCGCCGCCGGCCGCACGCCCTTTTCCTTCTCCTTCTCAGGGTGACGCCGCCCTCGAATGTCAGCCCTTTACCTAAAACACGCGGCTCCCTTCTCCTTCACACGCTGCCCTGCAGCTCCTGCTGCAGGCCGACCCCAGGAGTGAGGGCTCTTGTCCAGATGTGTGGGGCTGTGTCTTATGTCCACCCCTTGAGGCGAAGGGGCGGAGGAGGGATGTTGTGGCCGGTTTCTGACCATAAGGACGGGCGCTGGAGGCTGTTCCATCACAGCAAGATCCACTAGCCTTGAAAGCGTCAGTTTCATCCTGTCTTGTCCAGCTTGTGTGTGGCTGTACATAAAGCTATAGGTATATACGGGCCTATATAGGTCTTGGTTGTAATTTAAAAGCCTGTTTGTAAGTTGTTTACAAGAAAAGAGGGCAGGGAGGTGGGAGGAGGGGATGCTCAGCCATCTGTTGAAACTGGGAGGCAATGGCGTGTTCACAGTTACTATAAAAGGAAGATAGAGCTCCTTCTGCACTGCGCTTGTTAAACTTCGTGTTTAGGGTATTATTTAAATATCTGCCTATCAGGTATTAACTGAATGGGGAAAGGTCTTAATTTAGACAATATACTGATTATGCTGAAATCCTTCAAAATTTGAGTTTATGGTTTGGACACTGGTGAAGAACAGTACTGAAGAATGGAACTGAAACTAAATATGCTGATGTTAGCCAATGGATATTTTGTGATCTGCCCTGCAAAACTTTACTAAAAGCTCAGATTTTTTTTATTTTAATTACACATGGAAACATAGATTTCTGCTAAGAGATAGGATTCTGTGTGTAAATTATGAGCTGTGTAACTACTCACTTGCTCACATGTTGCAAGACTTGACTTGAAGTCATAAAGTGCAGTGTGTGGTAACGTGGGTCCAGAAAAGAATTCCACTGTTGGGGTTTCAGTAGTCATAAAGTTGTCATACTTAGAGTTGAAAAAACATGAATGCTGTTTCTTACCATCAGCCACAGCCTTCAGCATTTTGGAGGGGGGTGTCTTGCTTTTTAGTTTCTGTGAGCCCACTTAGCTTGTGGGAGAGCAGAAAGCTTGGATTGTCACTATGGAAAGGGTTAGATGTATTTCTGAGAAAGGGCTCTGGATTCTATGGAAGGATTTGACAAAACTCATTTGAAAACTACTGTGGCATAGCACTGGTTAACTATAAATAACTTTTTTACTTCTAGTGCTGTAATACTTCCAATAGCTTCATCAACTCCTATTCACAATGTCCAATTTGAGCTGTCATTCAGAAAGTGCCTAATAATTGCTAAAGATGTATTTGTATTCACTTTCTGAGCAGTGTTTAAATAGTCTTTTGGCTGGGAAGACTTTAGCTTTTATCTTTGTTGCAAAGATTTTGCCTTTGGTAGAGAAAAAAATCGTTACACCAATGTTAAATTAATTTCTGGTAAGTGAAACTCTTAAGTATGTACTTTAGATAACATTTTGAGAGCTATGTTCTTGAACACAGATCTATGATCCTAAATAGATAAGTCCAAAAATTCTGCTTTCAAGATCAGAGATTTTTCTGAACTTGAAATTGCAAGGGGAAAATAAAGCTTGTTCAAAGCATGTCAGCTATCTTGGGTGGGAATGTTTTACCAGTTGGATGTTAATACTGAACATGTTAATACTATCTGCTGGCTTAGCCAGGGTTTCAACCACTGTTCCAACTGGCAGCTTCCTCAGTTTACAAGCAGTTCATCAGCTGCAAGTCCTCTTTCTCCCTCAGGGAGTATCTTCAGTGGACATGTAATCAGCCTGTGAAATTTCTTTGCAATAAGGGAAACAGTTATGTTTCCTTGGTATAAAGTTTACAAGGGCAAAAATGTGTTTTATGTATTTGTTTTACTTGAATATGCTGCATTCTGGAGAACTTCCTGTAATAGTTTTATTCACAAATGTAATTTGATTTAAGGGTTGTCATTGATAAAACACTGCATCTGGTTTAGTTTATCGCCAGAGAGACCTTCCTTGGAGCTTTGGGGAGGAGGTGTTTTCCAGTCTGTAATTTGGTGCAAGCTGGGGGGGGCGGGCTGGGGGAGAACAGTACAGCTTTATTGAAATGGTTTGGGTTTTTTTTCCTAATCTGTGAGTTACTATAGCAGGCTGATCTTCCATGTTAGATTAAAATTACGGGATTGGTTTTGTATTTTCAGCAGATATTTTTTATTCATATTTCCTTTGGGGAATATTACACTTTGGTTTTATACCCACATTAGACTCAGCATTACGTTAATTTATAAGGTCATCAAAATCAGTGGGGAGCGGGCCTATTTACACCTTAGTTATGTGACTTCAGTTCTCACCAATGAAATATTTCTGTATCATTAACTACAGCAATACTTTTTTTTTACTTTTTTCCTAGTTAAAACAAAACTCATGTAAAACTCAAATGTAAGCAAGAAGCCAACTTACAGTGTGTTTAAAAGCTAAAAGGAGAGTGGACATTACAAATCAAATAGAATATCTATAAGACAAGTTAGTATCGGGGATTGTGACACCAAGAATGTTTAATGTGAAGAGAAGTGGAAAGGATTCTCAAGCACTGTGGAAAAATACAAGGGTAACAGTTTCCTTGTGGAATAACAAACCCCAAGAAATTCTTAAATATCTATCCTACGTTTCTTTACCAAAGTAATTAGAGTGGTACACAAATTTAAACTTAATAAAGGCACCATAAAATTACAGCATCTTAATTGGAAGCAAAGATTTAAGTTTGGAATTCAGGTATTAATGATGTGTCTTCATTGACCATCTGAAGTTTGCAAACAGGAAATTTCCCTTAGGCACTGATAGATCTAGGCAGAGTTAATTTGGCTCCACTTCTGAAATAAAAGAGGCATTAATAGTAAATATACAGCCAGTCACATGAAGTTGTACTCGATGTGTTAAGAAGCAACTGTCACCCAAAGTCTTCTGTATTACTTTGCACAGCCAAATTGCCATCTCTGAAACTGTAAAAGTATTCCTGTAGTCAGGTGAAGGTAATAGTTAGCCACAAGGTTGCTAACTTTAATTTAAAGAGAAGCTTAATAATTAATTAGATTCTTGAAGTAACTTACTAGATGCTGCTTGATAGCTACTTTAAAAGGAGATTAAACCTTACAGTAACAATCTTTTGGACTTTCCAGGCCTGAAACAAGTTTGCAATGAAGTTGTGGATCCTTATATAGCAAATCAGTTCTATTAACAATAGACTTCATTTCTTGCTTACTCCTTGTAAAGCCTTTTAGGAACTCAGCAGAAAAGAGGTGTTCACAAACGAGAGTGAAAAACACTGCCCAAGTCTTTTGATAACACTCATATGCAAGGATTAGTCCATACTAGCTAAAACATGGGGTTAATGTAAGAAAAACTGTTTAATGGGGTAACAGTATTTTTTGTTATTTGTTTCATAAACAACATTGTTGAACTTTGGATTTTTTTCTTGGCAGCTTGTTTATTACTTTTTGTTTGGGTTTTTTTAATTGTATTTCTTTTATAAGGATGAGAAACGTAATAGAGCTGATTGAAACCTGAGTAGCAGACTACCTGAAACTGAGACTTCCTTACTCTCCCAGGTTTCTTATGCAGACAACCGGGCAAATGCTTAGTTACATTTGTCTATTTCTCCATTCTGTCTCTGTGGATCCAATTCCCAGAAAATCAGACTTTGTATCAAAAAAACAATTTCTCTTTTTACAGGAAACTTTCTAGCCAGTCATTGTTAAAATCTCTGGACAGATTACTACTTAATACGTTGGGGGAGGAAAAGAAATGTTGATCTTTGTAGTATTACAGTTTACCTGGAGAGAAATAAGCAAGCAAGAAAGAAGTGAAGTAACTGATTATGTACTTCCCTAAGAAATCAAATAACATATGTGACTGTCATAGGGTTCGTGTGGGGATTTGTTATTATTTTCTTTTACTTGCCAGTCTGTGGTGAGATTGGCATCTTGTTTCATAGGTCATCAGGGGTTTGTGCCACAGACAAAGGATACAGACCTTTACAACTGGCAGCAGTCACATACCTCCCCACTTCATTCTTGTCTTGTTGCTAGTAGCCAGTTGTTAGAGTAACCGTGACGTTACTCCATCATGAGACCTTCACAACATTCTCCACTTGAAGTAAAAGAGTATGTAATAAGTAGCAACCATAGTCAAGAATTTAAATGGCTAGTATGTGAAACTCCTTCATACATACTTTTTCCTTTACAAAGATGAAGAAGAATTCAAGCCTGAGCAAACTGGAATCAATAAAAGGTAGTGAAATGTGAAAGAGCTCCTGAGACCTAATACTGCCCCCTACCTACCGACATGTATGTGAGAGCCTTTATATTATTAGCAGCTGGAGTATTAGAATCATTTTTAGAATACTGTTAAAATTTTAAATCCAAGTTAAATTTTATGAGTGCTGCAGATATAACTATTCCTGTCTTGTTTTTTGTTTAGACTGTGTCCCTCAAAAGAAAAATCACACTGACAGAGTGGTAAACACCAGCATTACTAAAACAAGGTTTTGTTGCCCACGGGCTTTTTGCACAGATACTCATAATACATAATTACCTAGAATGTGGCTTGTAAAGCAAGTTTGTACAGGCCAGGAAACACACTGTAAGCATAGTTTATGGATACAACTTAGATACCACTAATAGGTTTTCATTCTCACTTTAAAATAATTCAGTTGGAAAATTTAAAGATTTGGGTCTTAGGAGAAGAAAAACTTCAATATTCTTTTCTAACACTGTTAAGAATCAAAAAGTAGTCTACTATATACATTGTGTGCATATTAACATTTTACCTTAGTATAATAAGCTGATCCTACAATTGAATCATCTGTTTCAGAAGTAGATTTTAATTTTCTGAATTTGCTGCTACCTTTGAGGGTTTTTTTGATTCACTAAGTCTTGAAACATACATTATTACAAGGAAGGAATGGGTATGGGAAGATCAATTGAATCTTTAATTCTGCATGAGTTTCCTTAGAACTTATCTATCTTCATTATAACAGTTATCAAAAACATAATAATGATCTACGCACCTGAAAATTGAGCTTCAAGTAGTAACTATAAGGAAATGTCAGGATATGATATATATTATAGGTACAGGCTCAGAACAGCTTCTTTGCTGCTTTCTCTTTTGTATGAAGTCTTTGACCAAGCCAGAAAAGCAATCTTTCAGTGAATCTTTCTGCTCTGAAATATATTTACCTTTTCATAAATGCTTACTATGTGTTAAGTCATATTTTCTAAGTGAATTTTTCCTCTTGGCAATAATTATTGGTTGAGCTTTAATAGCATGTGTTCTATTAAACTTCTTCTGCAGATTAAGACCAATAGCAAATACTGCAAGTATTCGTAGAATCATAGAATAGTTAGGGTTGGAAAGGACCTTAAGATCATCAAGTTCCAACCCACCTGCCATGGGCAGGGATGGGTCACACTAAAACATGTCACCCAAAACTCCATCCAAGCTGGCTGACATGTTACCTTTCATTGTCAAATGACAGAAGCAGTAAGAAGGTTTTTTTTAATTGAATGCACATTATCATTGCAAAATTCTTCATATTATGAATTAAAGTTGCATAGCATTCCAACAGTTAGTCTTGAGTTCACAGGAACTATCAACTTGTATTAAAAATACCTAAATTGATCACTGTAGGTATTGAAGAGTGCCAGGGTATGGATCAGTGCATTTATAGGCAGGAGAACACTAGCTGTAAATTCAATAGCAATTTCAAAGGTACCTGCAAATGTAAAAACATCACATTTTGTGTAAGCCTGGAAATCTTTTAAAAATACCTGAACTTTTGAAGTTCTTTCCTTAAAGAAAAGTTAAATAGCTGCCTCTTACCTTTTACTTTCACTTGAATGAATTGCACAATGCAAAATACAGAATCTTTTCCTGTGTTGGCTATTTCCAATTCACTTTAATAGCCTTCAATCCATCAGCCCCTTTCTTCTCTCCGTGTGTGCATATGCACACATATTTGTGCCAGTGTAGTACAGTATACGTTTCACTTCCTGTGAATACTACATCATGGGGGAAGTTCAAGCAAAATAGAAGAGAAGCCCACTGTTAGATTTCAGTGCTTTAATCTGGTGCATTTGTCAGATGGCAATTCATTGTCAGTATTTACATTCTAGCTAGTTGAGCTGCAGCAGACAGTGTAGAGCAGCAGGTGGCACTAGTATCTGTTTGCATCTCTGAAGATGGGTATACACTTATTTTATACGTAACCTCTCATTTAAGAAATCCTGTCCCACAACAGCCGGCATTTCTTGGCCACTACCTGACTCCAGGTCAGACACATACAAGTGAACTGCTCCTGCATGCAGAGGGCCTGGCAGATGCTCAGCACTGTAATTTGGCTGATCTTATCACATGCTAAGTGCAACTGTGAGGCAGGAATAGCTCACAACTATTCTTCCTGGCCTCCTTTCATAACAAGCATGCAGAGATAGGAGCACAGGTAAAACTGGGCAAGAAAGTTGGATAATGTACTGTCGTGAAGGGTGTGGAAAATAAAAAGACATGAAGTCTAACTTTCCCCCTTGCCTTCTTGTGGTCACCTTACTGTGCAGCAGTTGATATGTACTTACTGTTTCTTCTTGGGGCATAGCTCTCTGTATAGCAGTTACACCTTGACCAGTTTCTGGATGTCAGCTGCTTTCTCTTACCCAAAAGTAATCAATCACCAATGGTCAGCTGCTGTAAAACATCAGAGAACTTACGATGACTGCAGTAGGCAGGTTTTTAGTCCCACATCTATCATGCAGCAGCTTGACTGGCACTGTGCCCTGAAGTTGGAATCTGTGGCTGTTGTGCTGGTCACATCTCTCTTAGCTTATTTGTGTGGAGTTTCTGACTGTAAGAAAAAAAAAACCTGCTTATTAAAAGTGCTGGATTTTTGTAATTTGTCTAATCCTTGTATTAATAAAGTGGTTTACTTGAATACTTAAAAAAGTTAAGCATTTTTGCAGTACAAGTGGACATATGCCTAAGGTAGCAGCACACAGGTCAAAGACACCATGTTTAAATACTAAAATTAACTCTATTTTTGTTCAGTAATGCCACAAAGGAATATAGAACTGCACTGGCTTATCTCAGACAATAATTACAAAAATACTCCATAAATAATGTGAATAATGCCTATTGCTAGAAGGAAATGGGGCTTCTGCTTTTATATATGCCAACCTTTAAAACAATAATTTAATTTGCAATTTATTTTTTAAAGAGGTGGGGCAAGGCCCAGATTTAGACACTGAAGATTCATAATGTGTCTGAATACAGAATTTGAGACCTCTTGAGCTGGTTTTGCCACCAAGGATTCCTGTTCAAATATATTTGTTCCTACTTTTTGTCCCCACTTGTCAACTGTTCGTCTGCTTTGGAGATTGGATCCCTGAAATAATTTAAGTTTATTGGGGAGTGGGTTACCCAAGAGTTTGTTCTACTCCACCTTTGTGCTGACAGAATGAATACCACTAAAATGTACCATTAACCCTGCTCCTTGAAAGCTTTCCTTCTATGCTGGAAACTTACAAGTTTTCAGACTAAAAGTGTAAATTTTACACTTACCAGTTACTGATGCAACACTTTTTATCCTGGATTGCATCTGTCTTTGCAACATAAATCAGTTATGGGTAAGCTTGAACCTGGTCTGCATGTTACCATGGAGAAATTTTATGTGAAACTGAAGGGGAGGAATTAGTACAAAAGCAACAGCAGTATTGATACATTAGCAGTAGTAGTAGCGTAGTGCAAAGTATAGTAGTGGTAGTATTACTACAGACTTGTTTTGAACATGTCTCGTAACACTTCCAGAGGGAAAAATGTGCAGAGTTACAAGAAAAAAGGAGCATCCAGTTACATCTTTGAATGGATTCAGCAGTCAGGAACACCCATAAAACAATGGGACAATGGAGGTAAAACAATCCATCGTGCCTCAAGTCATTGTGCTATTATCTTTAAACTGAGTGTATCATATTGGTATTTCATCTTTAGACTTAACAGATACGTTTTTTTCCAAGAAGTTTAAAGAAGGGTCTGTACACAAAGAAAACAGTTAAAAACCTATTGGTCTCAATGTGTAACTTTAACTGGTATACTATATTAGCACTACATTCTTCCATCAGAATCATAGTGTCTGGCAATAAATTGTAGATTAAACTTTGTCCTGCTGACTTTGTTTTCAAACTGGTCCTGCAACTCCACTATTCAAGGGTCAGAGTTTATTTGATCTAGATACAGCATTCTTAGTGGAAAGAAAAATCTAAGCAGATGGGTATTTTTTTCTTAGAAGCAGATAAGAGGAGAATCATCAGCAACTGCTTTAGTCCAGGCCTTGGGCTTAATGCACATTCCACTTCAGATAGTGTTACATGAGAAGTTTCCAGGCAAGCCAACATTTGTTTTAAGTTATTTCCAAGCATACAGATACATACAGAATATTTAATTATAAAAAGTATATATGCAAATGTGCAGTTTCGGGGAAAAAATTGAGGTCATCAGAATTACTGTGCAAGGTGAGCTTTTGCACACCTGATAGCTGAGTAAGAATTTATAAGAATGCCAGAGTATCTACATACGGCCACTTCTTAGAATTCTGTACTGTTTTGAAGAAGGATTAGTTGTACCAAGCACCTCACCTGTAAGCATTCTTTCAGTGAGTGTTAGATTCTGTGTAAGATGAGAGGGAACTGGATCTTTCAGATAGCCAGATTCCAATAGCTATGCTGTTACCACAGCAGTAGTAAAGAAAAAAGAGAGAACCACTCAAATTCCAATTTGTCAAAAATGAATTTTTTATATTCGTGCTCTCTGAAGAAAAACCAGCAGGAAAAAGGAAGAATGAGCAGAAAATAAGATACTTTCAGTGAAACTGAAGCACTGTCCTAAAGAGCAAAAGATTCTCCCTGCCATCACGTTACAAACAGGGAGTGTTGACTTACCTTCCACAAAAGGCCTTGCCCTGATACTGTCTAGCAGTAGTCTATAGCAGAGGCCCAGGAAAATCCTAAGAAAGGGACAAATTGTCCTGATGTTTTTTTCTAGAATGACTTCCCAGCCTCCAGCAGCTTGTGTTTAAGAGACAGTGGCTGTAATTTAACCTGAGCTTTTTTCATGTTGTTATCCAGTACCTTTTTAAGGCTGTGTAAATTTACAGTATCACCAGAAAAGAATTCCCATTCCCACATCTTACTAATTTACTTGTGTGACCTCTAGCTGTCTCCACTTGTTTTGAATGTGCCCCCTGTTAACTTTAGTTGATAATTACTACTTTTACCCAGGAAGAGATAGTGAACAGTCTTTCCCTGTTAACTTTTTCTGTGCCATCCAGTCATTTCTTTTCCAGGCTGAAGAATTCTATTATATTCAGCTGTTCATTGTAGGGAAGGTTTTCATGTCATCGCTCATCCTTACTGCCCTTCTCAGGGCCTTTTCCAGTTCTGCGCTGTCCCCTGTAAGATAGAGAAACCAGAACTGCATTTGGTGTTTAACTTGAGAGTGCATAATGATTATAAAGAGGGCTATCCAGAAAGCATTGGCAAGAACAGGCATCAGTGAAATGCAAATACGGAAAACAACCCAGCAGATTAAACTCTGGCTCAGGTAGGCTGCCATTTATAGACTAGCATTTCCAAGATACATGGTTACTAACTGAAGATCACTTTATCATTTCCAGATACTTGTTGATTATTAAACAGGACTTTGGGGTGGTTTTTCCCCTTTTTTTTCTAACCTATCAGTTTAATTCTCTCCAAAGTGAGGGAAGGGGAACAGAGCCCAGAGATGAGGCGATTCCCCTAACATACAAGTGCAGGCAAAACGTAGCTGCCCTGCACTGTATTCATTCATTCATTCATTCCCAGAACGTTTGGATCTGGTTCCATGTGGCTTGTACCCCATATATACTCTCAGACTAAATTTTTGCCTGAAGTAGTAACTGACAGGAGGAGAGCACATGAAATACTGGAAATTCAGACCTTAGTTACTGTCAGTTCTTCATAAACCTCTATGGAGGATTTTAAATATTGTGTTGATTTCTATTGCCACAGTTCTTGCAGTTCTTTCTGAGTTTTGTAATGTGTAACAATACCTCTGTGTTTGAGAAGTATCTTTGATTAATGTGTAAGTCCATCAAAACCTCTTGCCCTTATTCTGTTCCCTGAACTTCAGTATACCAAGTCAGCAGTGTGTTTGGCTTGCCTTCATTCCGGCTTTCCTGTAAGATTCAAAACGCCTGTTGATATACCACCCAGAGGAAACCTCTGCTTTTAGAATGGCTTTGTAAGCACAAGAGGAAGGTGCATAAGAGACAGTGATGCTGCAGTATCTTTTACTTTCTCATCTGAACAATCAATTCCATATAGAATTTTGCAAGTCACAGCTTCAAATTGAACATCATAATTATTGGTGTATTAAACAGCAAGAATAAATAAGTTATCTGTTTGTTACACATTTTAGTGCATGTGTTATCACTGGTAACATAATGTGTTCAATATAGCCATAAATGGTCAGACTGTAGAACGCAAGTTCTCTCTTATATTGTAAAGAAAGATTTATCTCTGATGAGATCTAACACCAAATAAAATTTCTAATTATGTTTTGTGATACGGCATTTCCTTCCTCTATTTGGTTTTGAGCATGCACTTGGTTTTCTTCCTCTTCAAAATGTGATAGTTGAGTAGGCAAAATAAATTCTCAGCTACAATGGTACTGCTGCTCCTTAAAATGGGTCAGGTCAAGACCCTCACGTTCTTAGCATGTGTCTTCTCTGGATTAATCACAGTTTAATTAATTCAGTCTTTAATAAATTCTTAGCACCTTCCCATAGCAAGTGCTGTTCAAGCTCTTTATGTTTAAACAATCTCTTACATTCCTCATGAGTCATCTCCATAATGCACACACATCTTCATAAACAAACATTTCTGTATTGCATTATACCAGCTGTAAATATGACTAGCACACCACCAGATCTGTACTGAAAAAATAAGTGATATCCAGCATTCCTGCAAGGCAGCCTTCTAAACTTCTGTTTACTCCAGTTTCCTCAACCTGAACATTCTTTTCCTTGTAATGGTCACAAACAGAAAAAGTTATTCCCAGAGCCAGGATGCTGATCATTAACTCAGTTTACTATGGCATGAATAAAAATCATGTTTGAATTAGACTGGTTTATGTCGGTTCCTTTCTTCTGCTTGGTTTTGATGCTTGAGTGCTAAGGTTTGGTTAGCTTTCCCTATCTTGTGGAGGTTATATCAAGTAGTCTGGTTTGGAAAATACGGACTAAGTAGAGTTACTACAAAAGCAAAATTAGAAAACAAATACATGAAGTTTAAAAACATGAAGTTTAAAAACTGATCCCTGCAATAAAATGAAGCATTGCTCAAGTAAAATTGGGCAATATGCTACAGAAATGGCTATGTGTTCAAAGTTGTTCAGTTGTAGTAGGCTCACTAAACAAGAATAAAAAGTAGTAAGCTCATGAAAAGCCACTAGCTAATGTTTACTAATGAATACTGTAGACAGGATTCAGTCACTTCTAATTTTTGTAGCAAATTTTCCAATTAATAGAAATAACTCTTAAATGTGACCTTTCTTGATCTTTAAAGCTGATGGCAATTTAGTTGAAGTATTCAACTTTACTACTTCAAACAACAAAAGTTTAGCTTACTTGCTTATGTAACTTACTTTTGCTGTGTTAATTTCTTTCCACAAATAGGTGCAATGTAGGGCAGAGGTGCGTAAGGACCAGCAGAACCAGTTTTTATTTGCTTCAAACTAAAACTTCCAGTGCCTCATACTCTTTGAGAGCATCCTGAATCCCTGCAAACCAAGTTCACCCAACACACCACCATATAAAGTTGAACATTTTCCTAGTTTGATATCAGTAACAACTCATCTAATGTTCTAAGTGTTGTTCTGTATCCCCTCCCCCCCTTTTTGTCCATAGAATCTTCTGCAGTTGAGATATGGCCCTCAGCCAAAGAGAGAAGGTTAAAATAGAACCTATCTGTTGCAATAGCTATACATCTTTAGTTCATGGTTCTTAAAATATATTTAAATGACCTTTGGTATCATGAGAGTAGAAATGCCAGCTGGATTTGGTTTCTCTCTCTTTCAACAAAGAAGTGATTTTAATTTATCTCTTACCAAAAGTTAAACACTAAACAAAATGCTGACTGACTCAATCAGCAGTAACAGAACATGGTCAGTAGTAGCAATTGTCAATAAACTGTTTGACACACAGGGTTCTTAAGAGTTGCAAAGACAGCTGTCCTTGTTTTGTAAATGAGGAGTTTCATATACCATGTTTTCATTTAAAGTGAAAGTAATTATACTCGTTGAAAAACAGGAAGATATTTTTCTAAGAATTAGGTGTTGGCTGTATTCATGTTTACAGAAATGTTGCTCACGTCATTTTCTGGCTCTTTCACTAACACTGCAATCATTCCTTTAAAAGGCTAATTAGGCTGGTATAGCGAAAATTAGTCTGTAAAAGTTGGACTTTATTTCTGCAACTCTTTTCTTCAACCTTAAATTGGATATAACTTTTATAAAAACCAACAAAACCACACTTTTTTTTTTTTTGTTTACCCAACTTTCATCAAAAGCAAGCTCATTTCCTTTGAATTCCTTGATATCATTAGCATTTTGTTTCTCGCTGAATCACACCATAGAAGTACCAGAATATCAACAGGCCACCTCCACCATCCACCACGTCCCAGTCTTACCTGGGAGGTTCACAAGACTCATTTATAACAGTACCACTGTCACCATTGATATATATATAAAATCTCAAAGGCAGGTACTCCGGAAATTGGATGTATCAAGTGATGTCTTTACCTGAACTCCATGATTCATCTAGCAAGCATATTTTACTTCATTGTTCATAAGATTTTTTTTTTAAATTGTAAATCCAACACTGACATAAGCTTCAGCTTTTTGCAATGCAAGTAATTCATATTAGTTCAAGATCATGTATTATACATATCTTTCTCAAACATTATTATGGAGATACTATTAGCCAAAAGCATGCTAACTATATTAAAATACTATAAAAGGTAGCATTCTCTGTATGTTACCTATTACAACAGTAGACACATGCTGTAACAAGTAGATTAATAGGAGCTATAAATCCTGGCAAATACCAATGCCAGGTATTTTCAATTTACTATATATAGTCTTTGCAGGGATTATGTCATTTTTTGAACACACTTTTCAAATTGTTTTGCTGCTTCAGAATACAGCAGACATATACATGTACATTTGAGGAGATCTTATTCAATTCTAAGATGGTACGTGTTGATGAAATGCGCATGTTTTCTATCAGCAGAAGTAGTTGTTTCATTGGGTCGAAACAGGGGTTCTGATAGAGTACATACTGGCCTCCAGTTGGAATGTGGACACAAAACATATGGATCCATTTAGTAAAAGTCTATTGATTTTTTTCTTTTTTAATGTAGAAAAACAGCATGGAAATTTGTATCACCAATGAATTTCTAGTGTCCTGTAATGGGGTTGGGAGGGGTGGGGTGTAGCTCTAGGGGTTTTGTACATGCTACGTTTCTAACCTGCCCTTGCTTTAGTTCTTATGATTGCATGGGTCAAATTCATGACCACGTATGAATTGGCCTGAACTAGTGATCATAAACCTAAGGTTGAATATGACTGACAGGGTAGCATAGGGAAGCTCGCGCTGTTGCTGTAGTAAGAGTTAACTTCGTGTGACACTTCCTAGTGTTTACACAACTTCAAAGTGTAAATATGGTTAGACAATACTTCCTTCATACTCTGACAGCAAAATAGAGATTCCTTTTACATGCATCTTCTGTGGTACCTAGTTACTGTCTTTGATAAGGCAAATTACAAACTTCTGAAACATGTTGTGGCACCTTGTCTCTCAAAAATCCTGACAAACAAGCCTCCTTGATTTCCTGTTTCAGTATCACATAGATAATTACAGTCAAAGCAAAGATTAATTAAGTAATTTGCTGCTTCTACACAAATAAATCTGTGCTCCCTCCTACACGTTCATGAGACCATGTCAAGCTGCTGTAAGAAATTTGACGCTCTGCAACAGGAAATCCTAAAACACCTGGAAAGGTCTTGTAAAAGGGTTAAAAAGTAATTAAGTAGTAAATTTCTGCTTTGAAAAACAAGCGTCTTCCTCTGTTAGAGCAGCCCCAACTCGCCTGCTGCATCCACGAAGGCTGTTCATTCAGCGCAGGTCAAATGTTCTGTTGTTGGTACAGCAACTGATGGGCTGTAAGCCCGGCAGTCTGTACTGCTGAGCACAACAAACTGCTGTGCGCTGCTGATGTGCGTCACAGGACCCTGGGGTTTTGCATGGGGATTAGTCAGGCTGCATTTGGAAACGCCCTCAACTGCACCCTGTGCTGCTATATTAGTGCTTCTCAAGCAAGAGGAATTTTCTTTTGCTTCTGGCAGCTGCTCTTGCAAAACCCTCTGGTAAGTGTGCATAGCTTCTGTCAACAGCAGTCTTCTGCCTGCGTTTTTAAGCCAAGGTTATGAGCTGCAGCATTATTTACGGTTGTTTATTGTAACAAACTCTATTTTTTGTATAAAAATTTGATACCAAAGAACTGGCAACAGCAGCGAAGGAGTAAATATATTTACCAGTTTGTATTGAGTAGATGAATTCAGCTCTGCTTTTAAATACGTATTAGAGCAGCCATGTAAGTGTGGGTATTTTCAGAGGGACGTAGCTCTGTACCATGCATGTCTGCGTTTGTTTCTGTACAACAGGAGTAGCAAAGATCACATAATACAGGAGACCAATTCTTAAAAGGATTTGGTTGGTTTTTGTTGGCAGCCTGCATGCAAGCCCTGCGTCTCTGGACTCTGCTTGCCACCTATGCTGTTGCAGTAGGACAAAATCAAGGACAGAAGAATCAGGAGTGCCCTAAGCTCAACACACAGGTATTCTCCTTTAAATGCACAAGAGGAAATGCTGTTGTCATGTTTTCTCTGGAAGCTCTCTCTCCAGATTTTTCTATATGTTTTAGTTTGGGGGAAAAAAACAGTATCCAAATCCAGCACATTAAGTGTAAAAGGATGTAAACAATGAAACAAAACAGGAAAAAATATTTTTAGTACACATCCTATTCAGTTTCTTAAAATAGCTTAGGTAGTGACAGGTTATTTCATAGAACCTGTGCTGGGTATCTAGTTTTGCAGCATGTTATCAAGCAACTGTGAAGATACTCAGTGTTCTGTGTTTTTCATTTCCAAAATAACATTTGCCTGTTTACTTTTCAGATAAGTAGTCCTAAGGCTATTTCTTGGCAAAACTACCAAAAAAGTGATTTGTAATACTAGTTACTAAGGATTTCTTACTACCATATTTGAGTTTACATCATACAAATAAAAAACTGACTATGTTTTTATAATTACAGATGAATATCTGTCTGTCCTGAGCTCAGGTTATGCTAGCAGATTGCATGATCACTAGTGCAGGTCTCCTGACTAGCAGCACCTAATGGTGTGTCTGATGCAACCATGCTGACATCCAGTAGCTTTTAATGTTCCTGTCTGAAAGATAAGCCTACTCACAGCTGGAGCTGCAAAGAGAAACCTTTATTGCACTCATGGACCACAATTCAAATTGTCTGAATTCAGAGCCAATCTTGCTTTATACATATAAGAGCACATGTAGCTATATATGAGAACATAGAGATGGAGGAAAAGATACACACCCACTCCCACCCATTCTGTGGTTTTGTTACAGCTTCCCTGCTTCTTGCAGCTCGTACATTGCAAATAGCAGAAGTTACATGAAAAAGGTTGCATGCTTTTCAAAAGCTTTTTGGTAAGCTTTGCTTTGTGAAGTAGATGAAAGTAATGCTCTGTAGTAATAGCAAAAAGAAAAAGGGAGTGGAAAGTAAGATGTAAATTAAGGAATGTGCCCCTTTTCTTACAATTTCACCAAACTGTTACTTTCTGACACCAAGAGCACTGAAACCAATTTTCTGTAGCTTGCCAAGGTATCAAATTTCAGAGCTATCACTGATGCCATGTCCTGCCCTTTTTGGTACATGTCCATAAGTAAGTATATGTGATAGCTAGTCTCAGACCTCAGAATCGGGCATCTGCAGTTCCCAAAGTAAATGCCATTTATTCTTGGTTTGTACTCTTTTACATGGAAGCTGTCACCATAGACTAGAATTTACAAATAATTGACTCCTATCCATTTAATCACTTTGATTTGCAATTTCGTTGTTTGGAAATTACATTAATAGTTCCCTCTCCCTGCCAGCCCACCCCTGTGTGTCCTCTGTGTCAAAAGATAATAGGTTTGGAACATAGTCTAGTGTATGCAGGTTTACCAGGAAAAGAGGAAAAAAGAAACTGTGTGGTAATTGAGATTTACTTATTCAGCCACAATGCAGGGTGTTTGTTTCCTTAGCAGTGATTTTTGGGATCCACACTGGTCTTTTTAAACTAAAACCCAGCTTTGTCAAGTAACGTAGGCTTACAGGTATCAGCATAAAAATACTTGCCCCACTTTTTTCATGTCCTCAGTTTTGATGATAACATCTTATATTTGTAGTTATTACTAGTATTATTTCAGGCTGTGTATCAAGATTTGATTATGAAATGAGCCGTATCTCCATGTAGTTAAGATAGCAAGTCATTCATCAGCTCATCCTCCCCAACTTAAAACTACAGATAGTGAAAACCAAAAGAAGGTCCCACAATCATCCTTTATAGGAAATTTCCCTTTTTATTGAACTTCTTTGTTTGTTATTTTAAATCATAGGGACTTAACATTGTTTTACTGGGTAGGGGAAGAAAGTAACTGCTCTATCTCCAGCACTTGGTAGATTCAAAAGTTCAGTGTAATCTTAACTCCAGAATATGACACTCCACCTGGTGCACACAATCAGTTACTAATTCCCTAGGATACTCAATTGGAAATGCTTGCTATGGCAGCTGTGAATTCACTTGGATACCTGCCTTTCATTTTAGTGATCATCACCAACTCTTTTTTTATAATTGAACTGATGGAGCATGCACTTAGATATAATCTGTCTCAAATACTAAGAAAACAGCACCCAGATAGAACACAAAAGCAGCTTTGTTTGCACTCATAGAACGGTTTAGATTGGAAGAAGCCTTAAAGATCACCTAGTCCCATTCCTGCTATCCAGTTGTATGTAGGAAACTATTTCAAAACTAGAATTCAGCAGGGTCTTTACAGTAAATACTTCTCTTTATTTAACCCAGATGCATGTCTCAGGTACTAAATAGACTTGTAATTTCCAGAACTATCCTTGTTGTAAATGACCCATTCTGTGGTTTGTAGGACTGGGGGATTTCCAAAGCTGCGTGAATCCATTACGGTTCATTCATCAAGGTATGAGTCTTAACATCATTAGCTACAAAAGAATTTCCTACATCCTTATTCCCATTACCTGCTATCACAAACAAGCAGATCTTTGTTTTTCCTTTTCATAAATTCAGTTAAGCTCAACCTTTAAAATAATCTTGTTCAGTTTTGTTCTCTTTGCTTCTCTTTGAAGGCTCCTTAAAAATGTCAGACTGGAAACTTAAATGTATTTCTGCCCAGCATAGAAGTCAATTACAAATTACCTTTGTGAGTTGTCATCTTAACGTGTTTTAAATGAGACACTGGCCCCTGAGCTAGTTCAGTAACATATAGATATCTTTAGTAAGAAAGCAAAACTCTTCTCACACTTATAAAATGACAGGATAGGGAAACATAAATAATTCAATAGGATGTACTTTCAGAACAACAAAATGTGAAATTCCTTTTCCTGTGGTTATGTACGTAAAGTTCTCAGTATAGAAGCTCTTTGCTCTGAAAAGCTTTCTTGCCTTTGTTAGGTGCTGTGGAGATTTTTGTTCAGGTATTTCTCCATATGTGTTCTTCCCCAGCATCAGAATTTGGGGCCTTTTGTGTATATTGAGTTGACTCTTACAGCTTTCTTAACCAATTAATAGAAACACAAATTTTAGCAAATTGACTGAAATGTTCTTTACATTCTTTCACTCTTTGTTCATCAGTTCTTTCCAACTTGAATCTGCTTGTCTCTTCTGACTCTTGACAAATGGCAAATATACAAGAAAAAGACAAGAGCTAGTCTGGGAGCCTGGTATTGAAGGAGCCAATTTGCCAGAAAACTGGTGACTGCTTATTTGACAGTTTCATTTACTTCTAATGATAAAGCCTAAATAAAAGAACTAGTTAATGTGCAGTTGCAGATTCGAATACAAAGAACTAGTGATGGGGACAATGGCTATTTCAACTAACCATATTTGTCTGAGGCTTTATCAGATGCCATACCTATAATGAAGATGTGGTTTTGCCTGTGAAAGTGCCTGTGAGACTGAAATTGCCTGAGTTATACTTGCTGCAGAAGACTCATGTTTTTCACCCTTAAAATAAAATCCTCTTCAACTGACTTCAATTCTTATGTAAAAATGAAAGATGTATTAGAAGTAAATGTATCTTAAAAGCTGATCTTGAGTAGAAGTATCAGTTTACAACTTCAGAGCAACTTTCATCAGACTTACAGTCTTAAGTAATGTCTTCTTTAACACCATCTACTAAAGTGTTTACTAAGGAGGTTTTTCCTCAGGTTGTTTCAGAAACTTACAAAAGGCATGTCTGAAATCAAACAGTAGCAAACAATCCAGCTTTCCTCATACAGCCTTTCCCTCTGATCTCTCCATCTCCCCCAACATCTGTTCTGTTTAAATCAATTATATTAGGAAGTCTGTTGCTTAGAATCTTAACTAAACCAAGTAATGCTTGAACTACTTCTTAGAAAAACATGATTTAGATTCCATTTTAATTTTTGCATGCCAAGTCTAAAAATACATGTATCATTTGCCTCTTGAAAGTCAAATGAATTAGATGAGCCAATTTACAGTGAAAATGTTACAAAACAGAGTCAAATTGCTTCATATTCCATTATAGAGAAAAAATAGTGTATACTCACCAAACCAGTGGTAAGGTTACTTTTGTTTACCAGCGCTGTATGACAACCAAAAGAAATACCATGAAACATCTGTGAAGAGTTGTTAATATTTCACTTTATGAAGCTACATGTGTTGATAATTGTGAATAAATATCTAAAAATGCTTTGTAACTGTATTTCTCAAAAGATTAGGGAATTCTTTCATGGATATTTTCCAGGGATTTTATTTTTTGTTAACACTCAATAACTTTCTCAGTGACTCCCAGGTGGGATGTAGCTGATCTGTTTCTTTCTGAGATTTATAAAGCAAAGAAGTAGTGAATAACCTGTCAAGACCTCAGAATTTTTGGCAAGGTATTCTGGTATAGGTATTTTGGATGGGTGGAAAACCGTGAAAATAATCAGACTCGAGATTCAGGTTTTGGAAGGATTTTTATTTCCTGTTTTCATTAGTGTCTTCAAGGGTATCAGCCAGAAAGTAGCAACAAGCATACTGGGGATTAGAATTACTTGTTATACGGAAAAATTGGAGCTGATGTGGATGAAAAGATACAATCCAGCAAGACTAAATATAAAATAGAGCACTTTGTGTAACTACCTGTTTCTGCCTAGGAGTAATTCTGAAGAATTGGTCATTACCAACTGAATTTGAATAACTATCACTATATTCATGCTAGCAAAGTAAATAGATTCAAATGTGAATGCAAACTTATTACATAGAGTCTAAAATAGCCCTTCACATCAGGCCTTTTCAGAGTGCAGCAGAAAGGTTGTGCCCATAGTTACGGATGCTGTGTTTCAAGAATGGTTCAAATGGATGGGCTGGGACAACATCAAGAGTTGTCAGAGGATTAGAAAACTGTGCTCTGCAAAATAAGATTGAAGGAACTGGGGTTCTTTAGTGCAGGAAGAAGGGGGAAAATATCCAGCAAGCACCTGTGAAAAAGAATACTTTCCTCCAAGTTTAATGGCCTAAAATTACAGTATGGAAGGGTACATAGAGATTAAGCAAACTTTTCTGAACATAGTTGAGCACTAGAATAGATAGTTGAGAAAAGTGAGGAACATGCGAGTAGTTTTTGAAGAATGGGTTAGACAAGTATCTGCTGAGAACTATGTAGCTGTAATAGTTTGCTCCTACCTGAGGGCAGAGTGGACTAGAGCCGATATTTAAAGGTACCTCCAACTCCTCCTTTTCCCTGACACACAAGTGTCTTTTCCATTATAGAAACAAGTGTTTGCAAGACTTTAGAACGTCATCTTTTTCTTAAATTATAACCTAATTGCAGTTTGACTGCAAGGCAGTTGTTAAAGGCTTAGCAGTATTGAAAGCAGGACAAAACAGTGTTGTGTGACTTAGTAATAATTGGTGATATGAGAACTCTGGTTCCAGAAGTGTGTCTGGAAACAGAAGCTGCCTCTTTTTCAGTTGGCTCACTGCAGAAAAGATTATGTGCTCGGTATGAGACAGGGAAAGCTGAACAGTCAGGATGAGAGAAATGAAATTCTAGCACTTCATCATCTCTAAAGTTATAGATACAGAAAATAAACTGTACTAATCAGAAATGCCCGTGTAGACAGACTGCAAATGTCTGATGCCTCTGCGGTGGGAAGAGTCCATACGTGATTATAAAGGTAGGAAATACAGGGCAAATTGGAAATTTCTGTCAGTAAGTAGTTCTTTCACCATTTCTGCGAGGTTGAAGATAAACTTTTAGAGTGAGTAAAGGCTTGGGGGGGGGGCTGGGGGGGAGGGTGTTGTTTGTGGAGGAGTAGGAGGTTTGTGGTTTTTTCCTTTATTTCCTAATTCAGCATTTCTCATAGTATTTGAGAAATACTCTTCAAAGGGATTACGGAAAATGATTGATGGACCAGCTCAGGAGCAGGGATTACTATTCCGCCTTGTTGTACTGGAACAGTCGGTTGACACATGCAGCATTCCCAACAATACAAGCAGTGTCTAAAGTCAGCCTGTGTTCTTTATCTGTGTTGAAACTTTAAGGGCATATTAACCGCACAAAGAGCTAGTTTTAAAGTTCACCATCTCCAATTGACATACTTGACCCACAGGGTGATCCCATACATCTTGTTTCTATATATATCCCTTATTCCCTACAAATACAGTTGCATTTTTGTGCGAGTGTCAGCCTACTGAATAATTTGATATTAGGAAAGGAAATTAAAACAGATGTTGAAAGCAAACAACTGTATGCAATCATCAGTTAATACATCTAGAGTGTTTTCTGTTTCTTCTTGCTCTTGTCTTCCTGTCCCATGCATGGCACGTAAAACTGTTAATAAATGCAGAGCTTCCAAGCTGATAGATAGTAGGTATTACCTAGTAAGTTTTCCTCTGTAAAGTGGATTTCTGTCTTTGTTCTTATTCTTCATAGATGCCAGAGTTTCAGAAGAAGACTGTCCATATTAAGGACCCAGGGAGAGTAGAGGAGATTATCTGTGGCCTCATCAAAGGTGGAGCTGCCAAACTTCAGGTAAAGATAGTAGAAGGTGTAACCATTTCAGAATGAAAGCAATCATGCAATTGGCGCTCTATGCCAGAAAGTTTGAAAAATATATATATATATATCTCTAAAAAAACAGAAGTCAGCCTTCAAGAGATCTCCCAAATTTAAATGGTAACTCTTCTTTGTTGTTGTTGTTGATTAAAGTATAATTCAGCCAGACACTGGTTAAGTAAATGAGATAAACATGTAATTTCAGGAAATATTTTAACCAAAGGAATTAGAAAAACAGTTGTGTTAGAAAGAAGTTACTCTCATGGGCTATACTAGTTTGCATTACAGCAGTTCAGTAGAATAGGGACATTTCTGTGACACATGCTACTGAGCTCTAGGTATTGTTGATCATTCAGAATTTCTAGCCATTCTTTATTTTGTCCCTCCATGTTGTAAGACAGTTTTGCTTTTTCTTCCCTTAAATAGATTATTACAGATTTTGATATGACATTAAGTAGATTTTCCTACAATGGAAAAAGATGTCCAACTTGCCATAGTGAGTACTTTTTTTTTTGTTTAATGGAGATTGGTTTGTTCACTCCTTTTAGTTTTTCCTACATTTTAATTTTCTATCCAATTTATTTCCTAATATGTGAGATTTTATATTGACTTGTTACGTAACCTGTACATCCTAATGAAGAAGTATCCTAGTGACTGCCTGTATGTGGTTTTATGCATATACATTTTAATAACAATCTGTGTGAACTGAGATCAGTTAAGTTGTTTTAGCTGTGAATGACATTAATTTCTGAACTATAATGTGCTAGTAGCGCAATATGGTAGGGTCGACTTACATTTAAGAGCTGGTAATATCCCTGAGGCCTGCAAGATCCAGATAGTAAACTCTTCATAATTCTCGGCATTTTTATCCTGTAGCCTTTTAGAATAAAGAGAATCCATTTACTAAAGAAGTGGGAATCCTAAAACACATCGGAGGGCTCATGATGATTTCAGAAAGTTAAATCTCAAGAAACAGATAAGAGAGCTTGTAATTGACCTTTTAATTCAGAGATGAGGGGAAGGACATCTTCATGCTTATGAAGAGAAATGTGCCTTTTACTGGTTGTGGGTAAGGAAAGTTCTGAGGAAACATAGTGGTGTGTCATCAAACTTTGCCATCTGTGCCATTTACACTATTGTAGAGCAAAGCAAAGGAAATACACTATCCTGTTTTAACACTTCTTTTTTTCACCACCCCCCCAGACATCATTGATAACTCTAAGCTCATCACAGAAGAATGTCGGAAAAAGGTAAACAGAAAACTTACTAGCTGTTGGTTTGTTGTACAGACAACTGGTATAGACAACACTAGCTGCGCTGTATGTTGAATTACATAGCAGCACAAGAAAAGGGATCCAGTCTTTAAAACCCTGAGCTTTCTCACTCAAGAAACTGAGTGAGATTGAAAGAAATCCCACCACTAAGAAGTGAACGGAAATATTTGTATTCTTAATAGCAGCACGTAGTTAATTTTAACAGCATCCGCTTTTTACAAGCTATCTCTTTGTTCAAAAAGCATTTCAGATCCCATTGTATCTAAATAATGTAATCAGAATGGTTAGATAAATACCAAGAGTTGATTAATGTATCTTTCTGAAATATCTGATGTTTTTTCCCTTCAGTTATTGCAGCTGAAAGAAACCTATTACGCCATTGAAATTGATCCAGCTCTCACTATTGAAGAAAAATATCCATATATGGTAGAATGGTAAGAGACATCTCCCATCTTGAACTAAGATTCAATTTAGTAAGTTTTTAAAAGGAAATTAATAGCAGTAATTAACTTTAGTTAATGCATGAACTGAATTAATCTCTTTGAGTGTTGTGCAACAGCTGGTTTTGCTTTGCTGCTAACTTGAATGAGCAAGAATTAACCATACAGGATGCTTTTCATCATGGGATTTAATGAAGGGTGAATCTTCTTAAGCCAGTTTCAACCTATTTTTGTTTCTGTTCTAGGTACAATAAATCTCATGCGCTTCTCATTGAACAAGGCTTACAAAAGGATAAGTTTGCAGAAGTTGTGAGGGAATCTGATGTTATGCTGAAGTAAGTTCCTTTTGATTAAATGATACTGGTTTGGAACATTTTCTGTAGATTCTTACTGGGTGTTAGGGGCAGAGGAGAGGAAGCAGACACCAAACAACATTCCCGAGAACACACCTTAATCTTGCAACATAGCAAGCTCTTCATGCTCCCAGCTCATTGGTATGTTGCAGCTAAATGCCTGCAGTGATCACAACAGTGTAAGCTAGAGATCTGAAACTGGGTTTTGTGGGGTTTTTATAGTCCCATCTCTACAAGCTTCGTTTCTGTAGACTCATCCTCTTGAAATTGCACTGGTGATGCTTTTTTAAAGGGTAATGCAGAGATCAACTTTGCTTTGAGAAATATCCCCTAAAATAGTTTTATCTGGGATAAAAATGCAGCAAAATACCTTTCATATGTTATATTAAGTATTATTCTTCCTCTATGGCTAAAGGCAAGTTTAAAAGCCAGCAAAATCCCTGCTTGAAATGTGATGGGGCTACTATATCTCTTAAAGTTCTCCAAACTTGTTGGTAAATTTTGGATGACTGAAACAGGATGTTAGAACTTCACTTGTGGAAGTGTTTGTGTATCACACTGACTAAATTCTTATTTTCCACAAAACAGACAAGCACATGGTCTCTTTTAAAGGTGAAATTCTACCCATCAGTGTCTGTGTGGAAAAAGCATATGTAGATGACATTCCCTTGTTCCTGGTATAGCATATATAGCTTTGATTGGGTACTAAAAAGTAGAAACTTTCAGAAAAGAGCCACAATAAACATTCTCAGGATTTAAAAGCAAAACAAGATGTGCTTTATGGCAGTAACCCTACAGAAAGTCAAAAGTTAAGCAAGGAAGATGGAAAGGAGATGTACAGACTTCTGCTAGAGAGTTCTACTACTCATTTGATTGTTCTGGGGTGTTTGGGGAGGGGACATTGGTTTTAATTCTTTAATAGATCTTTTGGGGGAAATAAGACTATACAGACCAAGACCAGAGAGCTTGATGCTGCAGTTTCTTTCTAAAACTACATGTCTTATGTTGTTAGGCTGATGGTTCTTGCTAACCCAAAAAGATGAGGTAAAAGAAGAAAGTGAATGCTCAGGGAAAATTCATTCTCTTTTCCAAAGATGATGTAAATGTCTTCTGAAAACTTGGACTTCTGTTGGCTTTCTTTATTGGAGATCTGATTTGTATTTACATTCTGTGTTGTAGAGAAGGATATGAGAACTTCTTTGATAAGCTCAGTGAACATAATATTCCTGTGTTCATATTTTCTGCTGGGATTGGGGACATTCTTGAGGAAGTTATCCACCAGGCTGGAGTCTACCATCCTAATGTCAAAGTGGTTTCCAATTTCATGGATTTTGATGAAAATGTATGTATAACACATTCTTACATGACTGTTTGTGGTATTTAGTAGCTATATATATATATATATATATACACACACTACAAGATGAATATTTTAATGCAACAGAAAATCAGAATTGCGTACTCAGCACTCTCCCAGGCAAAACAGAAGCAAAGGATAACAGTTCAAACACTGTTAGCATGGTGTGACTAAGATACCATTCATTCCCTTGAATGACAACCTCACACTCAGCCCAGTACAGCACCACTCTTCCTCCAGGCAGGGAGAATTGCTGTCTGTCTAGTCTTAACAATGCTATTGCAGTGATCACATTATTTAACAGTAATTTATCTTCTTCCTCCTTAGATATTACATTTCAACAGTAATACCACCTCTTTAATTCTAGATTCTGTCGTGTCTGCATGACACTAGAAATAACTTCAGTGTTTTGTTGGGTTTTTTAAATAGGGGGTATTAAAAGGATTTAAAGGAGAATTGATTCATGTTTACAACAAACATGATGGTGCCTTGAAGAATACAGAGTACTTCAAGCAACTAAAAGACAACAGTAACATCATACTGCTGGGTGATTCTCAAGGAGACTTGAGTATGGCAGATGGAGTAGCAAACGTTGAACACATCCTTAAGATTGGTTATCTCAACGATAAAGTAAGTAGCCTAATCTAGCCTTGTAAACATTGAATGAAACAGTATGAGTTAGAAACAGGTCCATTATACTAAGCTTCAGGTATCAAACCACATGTTGGCATGACAACATGTTTTGTTGTCATGCACTTCTGTTTGCATTCAGGAGAGAGGAGACTTCAGTTTTCTATTTTTCTCAGCCTTTCAGGAAGCTGAGGAAGTAGTTTTTCTTTTAGGTATCTTTATGTGTGAGATCCTGGAATAAACATGAGGTCCTGTATCCTTTAATGCATACACAGTTATGTCAGGCCACTCCTCCTCTGTCCCCCCATGCAATTCACTCATAGGAGCAATACATATTTGCATGGCTTATTTCCTGAATTTGGTGGCAAAGACTGGGCAATATTTTATAGACAAAACCTCTTCATATATAATTAAATATACAACTAAGCAGATCTTTCTCTTTATCCCTTCTGCAATTAGGTAGATGAGCTTTTGGAAAAATATATGGACTCTTACGATATTGTCTTGGTGAAAGATGAATCCCTGGAAGTTGCCAACTCCATCCTACAGAAAATCCTGTAAACTGCAGTCTCAAGTTACTCCATTCCTTCCAGGAGGCAACTGGACAGAAGAGCAGCACATTGGTGCTGTCTTAGCTCACTCATTTACAGAACTGTTTAATTTAATTTAAACCTTTTATCTTCATTTTGGTATTTTGAAATACGTATGGCATCCATCGTCAACTAGAAGCTCCCTTTACTGCTCTTATGCTGTTGTTTGTTGTCTCACACTCCTGTTATAACTAGATTTAAATTGGATTTATAGATGTGATAAAGCGCTCCTGATGGGATAATATGGTGCAATGTCGTTTAATCAGGCATTTCAGAGGAGCATTTTAGAAACTGTGGCTATTTTGTACTATTGAAGATGTGAACGTTCTGTGACTGAGCAGCGTGCACATTTGTGTTTTCTTCTTTCAAAGAAGAGATTTTGGTCTCAGCTGCACTTCGAAAGATCTTACTCATATGCTACAGACTTTCACACAAGTCTTTTCTACATATATTTTTCATCAGTAAAAATGCTTTATTCACCCAATTCAGGCAAAGTGTTTCTTCTTAACAGATTTTTGTATCAGTACGAAATATTCTGTATCCTTACTGTTTCATTATCCTCTGTGGATTGGGAAGAATGTTTGAAGTTAGTATATCTGAGATAGTGTTTCTCCATCTTTGTAACAACAGAGAGTTTCAGAAGCTGAGAGTCCAGTCATAACCTCAGCCCCTTTTCAGGTCTTTTGTGTACTACTCCACTTGTAGCCTGCTGCTTCATGTCAAAGCTAGCATGGATCATCTAAAGGAATTTCTCTTGGAATTCTCAGCTGCCACAGGCACATAAAATCAAAACAAAGCTAGATCCTAATCTTGGATTTAAGAGCTGACTTAACCATGTGCAAAATTGAGTTTTCTTGCTACCAGCCCCATGCCTCAGAGTCACTTAAGGAACACCTCTCCAGACTGGCTTTGGGTCATATTTCTACTCTCTGGAAGTTGTAAGCACAAGCATCAATACTACATCTAGCTCTTCTAGTTTTGTTCTGCAGGTCCTCTCTGTTTAAACACCTACTGAATCTTCATAGGATCACAGAACAGTTCAGGTTGAAAAGGACTTTAAAGATCACCTACTCCAACCCCCCACATTGAGCAGGGACATCTTCAACTAAGTCAGGTTGCACAGAACCACAACAAGCCTGGCATTGAACAATGCCAGGGATGGGGTATCCACCACCTCTTTGGGCAACTCCTGCCAGTGTTTCATCACCCTCGTAAAATACTCCTTCAGGAAGTGTGTCCCCTGTACTGAACGCATGACTGTACCTCCCAGCATAATGTACAGAATGATACAGCTTAATATAGCCACAGCTTCAGAAGCGTACTCTGATCTGTTGCAGAAGTTAAAGGTGGTATTGTGACCCTGGTCCTAAAGAGGTCTTGGCTGTATTAGCTCTATTCATTAATAATATAGAGGCAGTCATGTAACTTCCCTAACATGCAATATGGTCATTGTTCCCCTTTGCTTTCTTTTATACACAGCAGGATCTGTGCCATCTTCCATTCCTTAAGGAATACATATACAGGAGAGCCTAGATGAGCATACTCTCCCACCACCAAGTAATAGACCTCTTACTAAACATCCTCTTTCTCTCCAACTTGTGGTCTGTTATCTAAATTCTGACATGGTAGCACCAGTCACATTCAGTCCCAATCAACAGACTGACATCTGTACAGCCACTGGAACTTTTCCAAGGAGGCAAGATGGGGGTAGTTTCTTTACCCCACCTCTCTCTGCAGCCTCTGCAGTGAATTGAAATTTAACCATCCATATATTCCAAATGCATGGCAGAGGCATGCATTGTCACAGGCAGAGACTGCTTGAGAGGTGATGTCCTCCTTGTATGCAACCTACGGTCATGTAATTCCTTACTCCTGGCACAGGGGCAGCCAGATCCCCACACGTGGGACCTTAGAAGCCATCCATTTGTGCAGAAAAACACTTGAACCGTAAGACAACCAAGGTGAGGACAGTGTCCTGGCTGCCTTCCCTTTAGAGCCATGACTCAGGCAGCCGGACACTGAAGAGCTGGCAGCACCCTGGTCATGCCAGTGACAGAAGACCACGGCAGCAGCAGTAGCTGCCTCAGCCCTGACCTGCCAAGAGCCTGTCATCCAAAGCCAGAACAGGGAGAGCTTGAAAGCAGTGAGAGCTGCTGAGTCAGTGGTACACACAAACACACAGAACCAAGTGCTGCAGCTTATGTGTGACTGACAGGAGCAAGTCACAGTACAACCATCCAAGGAGGGTCTGGATGGTTATACTGCAAAACAGAAAGGGAAGGAAGGAGCAGCCTTCTGCACAGTCATCTTCTGCCTTTAGCAGTCTACATTTTGGTTACAGGCACCTACAAAACTTGTTAGCTGAGCTAACATCAAGGTTTGAGCAGGGGGAGAGTTGGTGGTTCTGTGTTTTAAACAAGCAGTCATGCTGGCTCTTTGTCAGAGCTGCCAAATAGAAGTCCAAAAGGCAAAGGCCTTCTCACAAACACCACGGAGCCAGGATGCACTGCTTACTCAACCAGTCTCTGCTTGCAAGGGGCTAATTACCATGCATTACCCCCAAAGTCTACACTGGGACAAAGTTTTCCGTTTACAGGTGGGTTACCTTTGGAATACAGATAACAGTTAAAATGTAGAGCATGTGAGAAGTAGCTGATAGCCACAGCTCCACGGCACAAGATCTGGCAGTAACACACTCTCTGGCACAAGATCATTCTGGCTACAAGCGTAACAGAGTTCCCTGACCCCCCAGAGCATCAGCGAGAAGGTGTGAGACTGGTCTCTGGTGGGCAGGACTGTCCTGCCTCAGGATTTCACATAAACTCACTGGTCCTCCTGCCGGGATTCTTCCTCAGGCTCACCCATCCCAAACCATCACTCCTTCAGCATGATGAGGATCTCATTGTATAACCCACCCATAACTGGGGGGGGGAAGAAAAACAACCAACCAAACCATACACAATAGCACAGACAGAGCAATATGGAAAAGCATTGGGCAACATCTTTAAAAGCAGTTACCCAAGCAGATCTCCAACTACATCTTAATCAGAGCTACTGAAATGACTATTCAGCCTGCCCAGAACCCAAGTGTATCAGAAGGGATCACTTGATGGTTTCCCGACTACAGGGATACTTTAAACTCCTTGCCTTGATAGAGGATTTCAGATCAACCAACCGTGTCCCATGCATTATGTAAGGAAGATTTTCCAATCTCACCTCCAAGTAGGACAATGAATGGTCAGTCTCCAAACATCAGTCCACACTGACAATCACTGAAAGAAAAGGATTCTCACCCTCCCACTAGGAAAGCTCAGACCTCCTGCAGGGTTTTCACCTTCAGCCATTAAATCCTGTCAGTCTCAGACTCTGCATTAGGGGTCTGCCAGAACAGCAAACCTTTTCTAGGACATAGGAGCAACTGAGCCATATTTCAGTCATCTGATAGAGCCCATTTCCTATTCAAAGGGGATCTGTACACAAAATAATTTACTTCTTGAGATAGCATACGTGCAGCTTTTTTGAGAGAATAGGCACCAACACAACCAACCTGAATCAGGAAGTCCACTTTAAAAAACCTACATAGTACTGTACAGTTTAACAACATCCTTTCATCATCCCACTGCCAACCATAGCTCTTGATTATATGGTAACCAGTGGAAAACATAAGATGCATTTTCAGATACGCTCCACTTTTTCTAAATCCCATCTTTTTGTTACACATCTATTGGCTAGAAATAAGAACTGATACATTCAATTCACACTGCCTTCCAAAATCATAAGCAAAATTAACTACAAACAGCATCATCACCGCACCTCTTCCAGAAAGTCCAGTCCCTCTAATTGCTAACCAGATTCTACATTTAGTTTTGGGAAAGAGGTATTATTCACAAAATGTCTTTCCAAGTCAAGTTTCTAATCAGAAACAGTTTGCAACACTGAAAGTGTATTTAATGTATGATTCAACTTAGAAAGAAAGGTATCATACATTTCCCAGATCATTCTGTTGGAGCCAAAAGAGTCTTATTTAAAGTTTAAAGCAAGGAATAAGCAACAAAGTTAAGTGAATTTATAAGTTTTTTGACTCTACTCACAGTATCTGTTCTGTCTCTAGCACATGCCCAAGATCAAGTACTGGGGACCTCTACAGGTTTACAGTTTCCTCCTAATCAGTTACACAGCAGAAAGCACCTCTGTCCAGTTAGGACAAGAAAAACACACAATATAAATACCTGAATTTCTCTGGATGCGCACCCATGTCCCCTTCCTAGTAAGCCTCTAATAACTCCACAACCAACCTCCACCTTTGACTACGGGCAGCTCCCTTTCATCAGCTGGCTACTTAATGGGAATCAGGTGCCCAGGCTGGGAACCTGGCTGCTGCGTTACAGGAGCAGCAGCTGATTGCTGGAGTCTCTCCTTCCCTTGACATCCCTTTTCATATGGCTATTAATGACATGACAAGAGTTATCATCAAGAGTTACTGAGGTGCTGGAGCAGGGCCAGAGAAGGGCAACGGAGTTGGTGCAGGGCCTGGAGCACAAGTGTGATGGGGAACGGCTGAGGTACCTGGGGGGTTTAGTCTGGAGAAGAGAAGGCTCAGGGGGGAAGGCTGAGGGGATCTTACCACTCTCTACAACTACCTGACAGGAGGATGGAGCCAGGAGGGGACTGCTCTCTGCTCCCAAGGAACAAGGGACAGGACAAGAGGAAACGGCATCAAAGCTGCACCAGCGGGGAGGTTTAGATGGAGATGAGGAGCAATTCCTTCCCCCCAAAGGGTGCTCAAGCATTGGAACAGGCTGCACAGGGAGAGCACCAAACCTCAGACACAATGCCCAGGGAGGTTGCTTTCACTAACCTGAGGAATGAAACGTTGTTCCTTATAATCCTAGTTTAAAGCATTTTTCCTGAAGACTAATAGCAGTATTGCCCATACTCAGGTTAAGCCTGCGTTGTGCAGGAGGAGAGTGCTGCACCAAGGGGTCCTGCTTCCTTTCAAGCTCCCAAAACGGGGGAAAAAGAAAACAAAGAAATGTTAGCAGTAATAATTCATCAACATTTTATTTAACAAAAAGATCAGTAACCCGACATTTAATGGTATCAAAACAAAATATTTCACTCCTCCTTCTATAACAACTGTATTAAAAAACCCAATACAAAATGTTTTCATCCAATTGAAATACCAGGTTTTAAAAAGCAGGTCTCAGGGAGCTCCCAACCCACACATACAGATCAAGAAAAGCAAGAAACTAGACACAAAGCAGATAATGGAACACAACTCCCCTTCTCCTTGTCCTCAACAGTGTCTCATCGGATGTGTGTTTGTGCTCTTTACATGCAGTGTACTGAGGGGGAATCATACTAAGGGGGTCTGTGTATTTCCTACTCAACAGCCTGCCATGTCTACAGACCTAATGGGTCCGTGTCTCGAGTACACCCCATTCCAGCTGCACCCCTAGGGCTGATCCGGTATGGAGGGATAGGCCAGAACCTTTGCAGACTCAGAGTTCTGTTCCTTGGTTGTGTCACTGTCATTTTGGGTGTTTGCCATGCCAGACTGCTCTGCTCCAAGTCCTTCCTCCTCACTCTAACCATTCCCAATACAGGGGACAGATGCCCAACACAACATCAGTTGTGTCCCGTATTTATGACAGTATTTGGACCCTGGAATACTAATATGTGAAGTCTAACAAAACTATAAATAAGGTGGCAGCCAGGGAGGTGTGGGCATCGCTGTGGGGAACTGTTTGAACAGGCCAGCCAGAGTCAAGGTTATTAATGAACTACAAGGCAGCTGGTAGCAGACTTTTACTCCATCAGGTGAAAACCCAGCACACACATGGGTACAATTCTAGGCCTGTTTAATTTAATTCACAGCTTACGGAATTCTGCAATGGCATAGCTAGCAGCTGCATGCTCTGCAATTCGCATGTCAGATGGCAAATAGTCCTGGGAGTCTGTTCAGCTACTGGAAAGAGAGCTCATGCATTCTGAAAAGAGCTGGGCTCAACTGCTGCCCATTTTACAGGTTATTTTCGTGGGAAATGTTTGCTGGTTCATTTTCCTGCACAAATATTTCACGTACAGAAGGTATCTTAAAATTCTTTTAAAAGCACTCAGTAAGTTTTTTCCCTACCACCCACCCACCCACCCACCCATTCATCCATCCATCAGCCCATCCATCCCAAATGATTCACCCATCCCCCCTGTGTGTTGTTCCATGAGAACATCTAATCTTTAGCATAAAGCCAGGCCCTGTGGCTCAGGTCCAGCTGTATACTCTATCTGTTGGCACATCCTAACTTGAGGCACTGAACACTTTCTTCAAATAGACCTAATGATTCCAACTGCAAACCCTCTTCCCATGTAGCAGCCTGCCAGCACAGTGGACAGCCGCAGGCTGGCTGGCTGAGTGCTGACCTTTCAGAAACATGCCCGCCCAAACCTCTTTCAGTACGCACGTTCAAACAGTAGCTCAGTTCAGGACTTCTTTGCTTTTTGGTTCTTTACAGTTCATCATGTCCTTCTTTGGCCTCCTGGTCCTTCAACTTGAATTCTTCAGCAGTAACTTTACCATTTCCATCCCGGTCTTGATTGGTGAACATGTTTTTCACAATCTTTTCAAAATCAAACCCCGGAGCTAGTTTTCCTTTACCCGAATCAACCTGAGCTTGTATGTACTCTGAAAACTGTGTGGAGAGAAAGGGGGAGAAGAAAGCTCACAGTGAGACAGGCATTTAAAACTGAAAGAGTATTTACAAAAGCAGTACTTACCTGCTGTTGACTGTTAGCATTTTACTAAGTGTATGTAAAAGTACACACACATAATGCTAACAACCTAAACTGGACTAATTTGGACAGACATGTGAGGTTAAATTGCTCTTTGTGGATTTCCTCACTTACTCCAGTGGGTCCTGGACCCCTAACAAGAAAAGCTATTTTTCATAATTTAAGGGGACAATGAGTTGAACAGAGAGTGACACAGAACATGGACGGGGTGGGTTAATTTCACAGGCCAATGCAAGCAGCTCACACTGTAAAAGAAACATCTGCCTGCATCTTACAAGAAACCACACATAATGAAAAAAGAGTGAAACAAGGAAATGAGACTTTGAGTATCAGAATACCATGAGATTTGCTAAAGTCTCTTCAGGCATTATGCCTCTGGCTTGCCTCCATAGTAAGAAAGGTTCCAAGGTTAGTTTTCCCTTAAAGTCCTTTTCCTGATATGTATGATGAAGTTATTCAATGTGATGAGACAACATCTGACAGAAGCCTTACTGCTGGCTTGCCAAAGACAAGAAGTCCACAGTCAAACACAACTTCTTCAACTCCTGTGAGCTCTGGCACCTCTTGTTAAATAAGCTTCAGCAAGAAATGCTACTCCTGACATTAACTTACACCTCCTAGGTCAAGCACTTCTACCTCCTCAGCTTCTCCCTCTCCTCCTTGCTAGGTGACCAGAAGGATGTGCCAGCAACAGTCACATCCAACACCATTCATTCCCTAGGGTGCTAAAAGCACTTTTCTATTAGGCAAGAGCAAAAGTGGAGGTAAACACAAGAGAAGATGGAGAAGGAAGGAAAAGAAAGAGGTGGAAAAGAGTGCTAGGGGAAGGGAAAATGAGACTCTGGTTTTACCCCACTGGCTTGTTAAAACGCTCAAAAGCATCTCATGCTGTTCCATAGGGCCCCAGCCCACCCTTTGAGTGCTGCTGGCAACAGTACTCCAGCGAGGAAGGACACAGAACAGAATGACAGAGAAAGGTGAAAAGACAGAGTTACGAAGAAACTAAAAAAATACAACTCCTTTCTTAGCCATTCTTACATTACTTCTTTTTGGTTCCATCTCTAAGGCTAAATAACCACATTTTAATTGACATGTTGCCTTCCTGTTGACAACAAACACCATGTCAAAGAAGAGGGGAAGAGGAGGGGAAGAGGAGAGATCCCATTCTTCAACATCTGCAGTGATGGTGTTAGAAGAAAGCACCCTGATGATGGTAGTAGGAGAAAATCACTGCAAGTGTTCTCATTGTTTCAGCTTACCTCCTCCAAAAGAACCTCTCCATCGTGATTCTGGTCTATTTCTTCAAACAGATTAGGAGAGACTTCCCCATTCCACACAAACATGTACCCTTCGGGCAAGCCAGACACCAGCTCCAGCAGTTCGATGTCAAAAACCAGTACAGCACTACCAGGCACTTCTCCTTCTGTCACAACAAATGGCAGAGGGGCATGATCTTCTCTTACACTGAAGGATGTATATCCTTTCAATCCACAACTAAATTTCTCTTTCTCCTCCAACAGCACCTTCTCTACTGCAATCCCCAAACCCCGTGATCCCAAACCACCAAATCTTCTGTTCACTTCAGCAGAGGTGACCAAGACATGAAGGAAGCTTTCAGAATAAAACTGCATCCTTTTTTTTGTTTGTTTGTTTTTACTTATAAAACTGTATAAAACATTTTCCTTTATCTCCCCCATACACTGTGTATTGAGGTGCTAACTGACACTCAGGAGTGCTGCAGCAGCTTGAGATGCTGAAACCATGGAAGGAAGGAGTTTGATTTATTCTTGATAAAGAAAATGGAGGTCATCTCTAACTTCTGCCCAGCAGCAAACAAGCAAATCTCTTCAGGTACCTGTGTACTCACCAAGGCACTAGCAACCATCCAGCGATTCAGACCATGGGTAGCAAATGTAATCTGAATGATGGCAAATACCTGTGACAGGTATTTAACACAGCAGGCTTCTTATGAGACTTTCAATTTATTACATAGAACTATGCAATTTTATGTAATAATATATATAATACTCATACTTTTTCATGGAAGACAGGTACAAGTGAAAATGCTTCCTTATTTCTTATCACAAATTAATTCTCCATTAAGCCTGGCACATAATGCCTGACAGTCTTTATAAAACACAAACTCTTCTGGAGCTATTCTGAGAACACAGCAACTTCTGCAATTGTTTCCATACACATGAGAGTTTGTTGGTGATCTCCTGACTCCTCTTCCTCAAGTCTTTTAACTCAGAGGACCAGTAGCAACCACACATCTTGGGATATGAAAGTTCTTGTCACTTCTGTATTGTTCTTTTTATCACTGTTGGCCCTGTCATTACAACATGGATCGGCTTCAATGCTCTAAACCAGAGCAAACTGCCTTAAACATGTTGGTGTTGGTGTTTCAACAGCACTGATCCCATTTCACATCTCACATTTGACTTAACGTAGTTTCTTGAGGTTTGAGTTTTTCTTTGAATTTTTTATCACATCAGTGCGGAACAGGCCCCTTCAGTTTTGTTTCCCGCATAACATGTGGCATGTCCAGGCATGAGCATCCAATTCCCCATCACAGAGAGCAACTGTCTACCTCCTTCTGCAACAGAGTTCCTGGATCATACTATAACAGAGCAACATTACTGGGGCACGTGTTCCCTTTTATACTGGGATGGGCTATGGACCACAGGAACAGTGACTTAAAACACAGCACAGACAGTATGTTCATTTCATTCGTGAAGGGGGGGGAATCCTAACGCAATGACATGAAAAACCTCTTTAAAAAATCCCATTAAGGAGCTCACCCTAAAGCACAGCAAATAACAAACCTTGTGTACTTGTGTTTCAGTTACTCAAGAGATGCTAAGTGGATGTGCATTAGGATTCACTCACTTACCAACTCCATCTTCTCCATACCCAAGATGAGGTGGAATAACAACAGTTCGGCGCTCCCCAACACACATGTCTTGCAGGCCCATGTCCATCCCCACCACCACCTGCCCAGATCCCAGAACTATGTTGTAGGTCTTGCCGAGGCTGTGTCTGGAGAGGAAGGGAAGAAGAAGAAGAATTATAGAAGCCCTCAACATACAGTAGAGGATTTCTGTTGTTCCAAATGACCACAGAAATAGCAGTTTCTAGTTAGTGTCCTGCCATTACCAAAAATTAACTACATGCCCAGTGCTCTGTTCTACCAAGCAGTTACCTGAAGTTGTTCCCAAGGTAGCAAGTTATGGCCAGCACCAAACAGAAGCGTCCCTACTGCTGACAGGTCCTCTGATACTAAAATGATAGGCTTCTTAAATGAAACCCAATTAAAATCATTAATCCCGCCAACTAAACCCCCAAGGTATTTTATCTCAAAACAAGGCTTTTGCCTTTCACATATTTTTAACTAATTAAGTTGGCTTTTTTAGCAGATATCCATATTCCAGAGGTATATTTGTCGCAAAACTACCAGCCCATGAGGATCAGGGTGCATTCACATGGATCAGCCAGCCCTGTAATAAAATCAGCCACTACAGCACAGCAGTCACTGAACCAACACAGCATGGAAGTATCTCACATACTACTACTGCTATTTAACCACATTATATTTTGAATTTTACCTTGCTGCTGGTGGCTTGTTTCTAAAATTAGAAATCATCACAAGTTAAAGTGATTCTAAAAGCAGAGCCTGCAATGTTAAGACTTTTTACGTGGTACACGTCACAACAGCAGGACCTAGATTTAGGTTAGACATTAGGCAGAAGCTCTTCCCTGTGAGGGTGGTGAGGTGCTGGCACAGGTTGCCCAGAGAAGCTGTGGCTGCCCCATTCCTGGCAGTGCTCAAGGCCAGGTTGGACGGGGCTTGGAGCAAGCTGCTCTAATGGCAGGGGGTTAGAACTGGATGAGCCTTCAACCTTCCAACCCAAACTATTCTGTGACTCTAAGATTCTATGACCCTTTCTCCTGTTGGTCTCCTTTGGTTATCTGGCCTGGCAGTACCACCACAGAATATTCTGGTTTATTTGGAAAGAAAACAATTCAGTGGTTTTGAGGTCAGCCTTAAAATTAGGAGCATAAGATACATGATCTTTGGTTCTCTACAAACTGCTTAGAATAAGACAGTCTCCACATCCCTTACTTCCTGCTACAAAATGAGCATTCCTGCCATATAAAAGGTGTTTTGATTCCAAACACATTTCTTGCATACATACTCGCCTACAGCATCACATTAAGAGCTTCAGTGTCAGCCAGCTTTTCAGCTCTGCAAGCTATGGTGTACACTGTGAAAACTACAAACTGCTTCCTATATTAATTATAACCTGTTTAAGAATAGCTTTTCCCAACTTCCCTTCCAAAAACAAATCTTCCAACCTAAATAACGATCACTTGCGCTACCCAAAAGATGAAGGTGGGAAAAAAAAAGTAGCAGAAGCGTTCTTGTAGCTGCAGCAACCAGTGCCATGGGCTCACTTCAGTTCTATATGAGACAGACTGGAGCAGTCTCTTACTTCCCTCATGAACCTACTGTTAACAGGAAGGAGGAAATGATCATTACCATCACAATCAGGCTCTCTGACAGTTTCTCCATGCTGACACCACAACACTACAATAAAGGAAAACTAGCACCCATGTGTGCTCCAAATGTGATTGGTGACAACTGACTGTATACCACACTCAAGACAGCTTTAACAAGCCCTATACCATATACACCTATGAGACCTCTCTTGGGAGCACTGAACCCACACAGAGAGCAAAACCTGCCCAAGAAACTGAACACACTCAGGCAGTTCATTCACACTGAAATCAGTGTCACTCTAGTAGGACTGGCCCAGGCACCTGAACTGCCACACAGACAACCTCCTTCATCACTCCACTTGTAGTGTCTATATTCTTCTCCAACACACTCCTACACCTTCTTTGTTCCCAGTTCTCTCATTATGCTATAGAATCATATAATCATAGAATCAATGGGGTTGGAAAAGGCCTTTATATGTTCAAGTCCAACCATTCCACAGCACTGCCAAGGCCACCACTAACCCATGCCACTGAGGGCCTCATCATGTGTGAACTCTTCCAGGGAGGGTGACTCCAGCACTGCCCTGGGCAGCCTGTTCCAATGCCTGAGCACCCTTTGGGGAAAGAATTATTTCTAACCTCCATCTAAACCTCCCCTGGTGCAGCTTGAGGCCATTTCCTCTTGTCCTGTCACTAGTTTCTTGGGAGCAGAGACCAGCCCGCTCCTGGCTCCATCCTCCTGTCAAGCAGTTGAGAGTGATAGGGTCCCCCCTGAGCCTTCTCTTCTCCAGACTAAACCCCTCAGGTCCCTCAGCCACTCCTCATCACACTTGTGCTCCAGGCCCTCAACCAGCTGCCAGGGATATACTTACGTTGAGTCTAGCAAAGTACCATCCAGGAGTGAAGCATTGTAGTGATACTTCAAGTAATCCCCTTTCTTACTCAGGACGGTGCAGTTGGAAGGTTTATAGTTCACAGTAATGCTGACTGAATCTGAGGGGTTGTGGAAGTCAACCACATGGATGTCAAAGACCAGCACTGCAGATCCTGGAATCTTCCCTAAATAGGAATAAAATCAGGCAAGTAGAGAAAGAAATGGTACCCAAACAGGCTTATGATGGCCAGGTTCTGCATCCCGCAGGAATACATATTCCCACTGCGCTTGCTACCAAGTTATTTTGCTCTTCTCATTCAGAATTAAAGGATTATTTCTCCTCTGTGTGCAACTAATGCAAGCTGTATCCAGTGAAGGAGAAGCAGTGGAAAAGCACTAAAACCTCAGTTCAACAGTGAAGGAAAAAAAATGCATTACTCTGAATTTGAAAAATACACTGATATGAAGCAACAACCAGGTATTTCCTGTGACCATCCCAAATAACTGATTTGTGTTTCATGTACCAGTTCATTACTGAGCATCAAAATTCCCGTAGGACTTCGCATACTTCAAGGAATGCCATAATGCCTGAAAGGTGATGTTTCCTTACAACATCCTGACAGCAAAGCAACTTCTTCCTCCTCCCAGGACAATGTGCAACTGCATTACCAGGACTAACAAGACACATACTGATCCAGGAATGGGAATTGTTGGTAAAGGAGTCTGATTCCCTGATTCAATGGCATAGAATTTGCAGTCCCAAAGGAGAGGCCTTTTTTCTAAGTCACTTTTCCCAAGTAACATCCCAGGAGGTACCTTTTGAAACACCAGCCTTAGGTCTGTGATCAGTGTGAAGGGTTACTACCTTCAACCTCTCACACCAATCTTTGTGGGTACTAATGACTTTTCCCAAAGGAATGTTAATTGCATGTTACACACACACTTCACCGTTACATTCATCCACCCTTTACAGGTTTAGGAATCCACAAAACCTGTGTTGGTGGAAAGGATGGCGAAGAAGCCACAATGAATTCCTTCAGCACACAGAGCTTTTGCACACATTCAGGAAGGAAGGAAGAAAGATCTCACCCTGCAGAGCTCCTGGCACCTAAGTGCCAGTCTGTCTGAGCCACCCATCATCCAAATGAGTTCAGGTCACCAATGACATGTGAGGCTGTTCCGCATTCTTCCTGTCCTACTAGTTAATTAAACTCATTCTGCAAATCGTGGGTGTAATCCTGTCAGCTCTATGCCCACAAAATAACAACCTAAGTCTTTAAATGCCAAAAAAAAGGGGAACTACATACAAATGCACTCAACAAGAAAGGAAACATCATTAATTACAGAAGCCTCAAATGAAAAGTGAAGCTCACCTCTTCCTTCTTCTCCATATCCAAGGTGAGGGGGGATGATTATTCTCCTTTTTTCACCAGTGCACACACCAAGCAAACCTTCATCCATTCCAGCAATGACATAACCTTGCCCAACATAGGTGTCATACGTGCGATTCCGCGAGTAGCTATGGGAAATGCATGTTAGCAGTGTCAGGTGTGCTCCAGCAAACACAGAACCTTGCAGCAGATTTGCAATACAATTCTGAAAGCAGTTCAGGTCATTAATTAGCACCTAAGAAGCACAATGCAATCACCATGTTCAATGAATGTAGGCCACCAGGTTTCATCAGTCAGTGTGCATCACTCACTAACTGGCACTGGGACCCTGGCTAGGATACAGCTTATCTGCAAACACATTCCTACCATACCTGGAAAGAAAATCTCACTTATTTCTGTATTTTAGATTAAAACATGTTTTGATAAGTAACTGAAAAAAATCAGCTTTTTTCTTTAAGTTTTCCTCTGCCCTGACTCTACTTTAGTAAATGCTATCAACTAGATGTAGTTTATGTTCATTTTCACAAGACACTCTTCAGACTATCTCATTTTGCAACCACAGCTACTAGTACAACTACTACAAGAAGGTGGGATGCACATGATTAAAATGAGTCACACCAACAAAACACTATCAATACTATCCCTCCCTTCCCACTATGCCAATCACCTCTGCGTAGGATCTGCTTCAACACCTAATGACAGAAATAAAACAAGCCCATGACAACAAATGAGGTCTATTACAAGGATGTGCCTGTCTTCTGCCTTTCCTCAAGGCATGCTACATGAAGGCACAGCCCAAGGAAAGGAAGGTAGAAAGGTTTCAATTCATCTTTACAAGGTAACTCTGAAGAACAGCAAGATCAGGACAGACCCTGATGTAGTTCAACTCCTCTGAGTCCAGACAGCCGTGGCTGAGCTGCCATGGGGCAGTTCTGCAGCTCACTATTACAGAAGGAAAAAACACAGCAGCTGTAGCAGTACTAAACACTCTTCCTTCCATGAGTTTATTTTTTAAAACATTTTACAATGGCTCATCTTCAACTCTTTTTGGCTACTTGTGCCAACTGTTCTGAAAGCTAGAGTGGAAAGTAAAGTACTGCTCATTGAAGAGCAAACAAAAGTGGCAGGAAGCTACAAGGGTATTTCTTATTCATCATATAATCCTGTACACGAGTCTCACATGCCCACAGAGCTTTAAATTTGACACAACAGCAATCCCTCTTCCTTTACCACAGAAACCCCATCACTGAGTTCAGTCCTAAAAGATATCAGCCTTCAAAATGCAGTTTTCAAGCGCAACTGGAAAGAGCTTCTTGAGATTAACCTCAAATGAGCCACTAGCATGCTGACTCACAGTTTTCAGGACATACAGTGGGAATCACTGATCTGTTCTCTCTTCAGTAGTATCACCTATGTGGCAAATAAGCTCTATGGGGCAAAGAGTCTTCAGGCACGTGTCTGAAGCATACATAGCTTCACGAGGTGGATCACCACCCCTAGATGGCGTTTGTGATACTGTCATAACACAAAGAGGTCTTTGTCTTCCTTCCCATATTGAAAGTTTTCTTTGAGGCTTTTAAGAAGACTCCAAATCCACTTAACAATTGCAAAAAGGAAGGAAAAGCAAATAACTGGATATGTTATGGACAAAACAGACAAGTCAAATTGCAAATGGTCTGAAGGGCTGAACCATCTGGTTACCTGGAATCAAACAGTGTGCCATCCAAGAGTGTGCCATTGTAATGGTACCGGAGGAAGTCTCCTGCCTGGCTCCTCCGCTCGCAAGACTCAGGCACCTGCTGGTTCTCAATAGCAATGCCATCTTTGGGGTTATGGAGGTCTAGCAAAACCACATCAAAGACAAGGGAAGCTTGGCCAGGTATCTCCTTACCTACAGAAGTGTTGGAGCAGAAAACTGGTAAGAAACAGCTGACTATCAAGCACCACCCCTCCCAAAATAAATCAGCATAATCTGCTTATAGTCAGTCATTTTCAGTGGGTTTGTCACTCAGTTCTTCAACTCAATTATTTCCTTCTGCTCCTACTGTGATAGCACTGCTTCACTAAGAATAGCCTCTTCAGCAACACCTACTTTAGTCAATATAGCTCCATCTGAGCTGCATGGTTTAGTCTACCAGTATTTCCAACACACTCCATGAAAGTGCATAAAATAACCATTAGAAGAAATACGTGGCACATCCATTCTTCCCATCATGTTAATATCAAAACAGGAGACCACATGATGGAGTTGAAGAAGGGTAAACTGAGTATCTCAGTGAAAAAGTACCTTTCCATCAATACACAAATTACAGCATGGGTTGCTTTGACTGAGGACCATTAAGATCAAAACCCAGCTCCACACAGGTTTTGTTATTCATGGAGATGGCTATCACAGTTAATGGTAATGAATTCATGGAAGGGGTATGAAACCTTGGATCCACAGACATATCCTTAAATATTTGAGCAGAGAAAGAATTTAAGGATGAGTTCCAAACTATACTTAACTGCCCCCTCATTTAACATGGGCACCTCTGTGTATGAGCTGCAGGCTGCATACAGCCTCATAGGCCAATTAATCCATCTTGCAGATTATATTTTCTGAATAAAATTTCAGTATACAAAGATTACAATTTTATCAAAAAAAAAAAACTTGTACTTTCTAACCAGTCCGATCCTGCATATAATACATTTTGAACCTCTCTCTCCACCACTTTGTTCCATCTGTCTGGAATCAGTAATAATGCTGCCCATAAAGTTAAAATACACAAATACAAGTTTGTTTTAAAATATGAATCACTTAGATTAAAAGATAATAATAACTTTTACCATCTCCTTCTTCTCCATATGCCAGGAAAGGTGGTATTGTGATAATGCGCTTCTCTCCTACACACATTCCCAAGAGACCCTGGTCCATACCAGGAATCAGCCACCCAATTCCCACATAAGTATCGTAAGTCCGCATCCGATTATGGCTAAACAAGAAAACAGAAACACAAACAAAACATGACTAAATGTTAGACAGCCCCAGGAAAGAACAGCATTAACCTTTAAAAGCCCCATGCTATGCACAGTATCACCAGCAGTGTGCCCCGGTGGCCAAAGACAACAGCATCCTGGCCTGTACCAGCAGTGACCTCGTGCTGCACCAGGGAAGGTTTTAGACTGGATAGTAGGAACAATGTCTTCACAGAGAGGGTGCTCAGGCATTGGAGCAGGCTGCCCAGGGCAGTGCTGGAGTCACCATCCCTGGAAGCAATCACACACCATGTAGACAAGGCCCTCAGTGACATGGGTTAGTGGTGGCCCTGGCAGTGCTGGGGGAACAGTTGGACTTGATGATCCTAAAGGTCTTTTCCAACTTTGTTGATTCTATGATATAACTCACAAGTTGCCACTCTGAAAATACTGTTCCTTGACTGACCAAGGGCTGGCTGGGAGTGCTTAGCTATTTCAGGAACCTAGCAGAGGTTTTGAAAAGTGTCTCACAAACCTAATGGCAGCTGTTATTACAGCATTATCTTCCACCAAACTTCAATGAAGTCCACATGCTGCAAACTTAAAATCTTAACATGAAAGTTTTAGTAGCTCAGTTTCATTATGAACTCTGTTTAGTTTATAAAGCTTGTTTCTACCTTTAACTGCTATGCTGCAGTGGTTACAGAAATTTTGAGCTGGCTGCAATAAACAGTGATCTGGGTTTGTAATGCCCATGAAGAAATAATGTACTGTTTTACTGGTTTGAGTCAGTACCTCTCTCCTATAACCCCTAAATAAGTTACTGACACTCAGATGATGCTAGCTTTAATTTCCTGTGTTTCTCAGCAATTAACATCAGTTGTTATACCAGTGAAGGGGGAGGAAATTATGGGTTTAAGTGACATGAGATACCTATTAAAATACACAAAGACACACAGCCCAGCTGCATACCTTGAATCAAACAGGGTCCCATCTAGGAATGTTCCATTGTAATGGTATCGTACAAAGTCAGACACCTGGACTGTTCGAGGACACTTCTCAGGTTTGAAGTAAGTCTGAACCTGCACTTCATCCTCCAAGTTCCAAAGATCTATCAGGAGCACATCGAAATGGAGCACAGCATTGGGGGGTATCACACCAGCTGCAAAAGCAAAACAACACAATCAAAATCCATGCATATCCTAAAAAAACAGGCACAGTATACACCCTTCTCCTTGTAATGCCTATACCCCCCCGGCCCCTCGTCACTGTTGCAGCTGCTTACGGAGGGGGTATCTGGCAACATGAATTGTTATCAAACATGCCCATCAGGCAAACTGATCTTGATTTAGCATTTGTTGACTGTCTGTAGAGCAAGGCTGATTCTGGCACTGACAAGACCTTGTGCAGTACTGCCATGACAAACCACAGTAAGTATTTAACATCAAGGCAGGTATAAATAAATAGTGAACTTTGGTAGAAAGCTTAATTTGCTGAAGGTCCTGTAGAGTCAACAGCTCTTCCTCCAGCATGCAGAGGGAGCCTGGTGAGATTAGCCAGGCTTAACAAACACCCCTGAGCAGGGGAAAACCTCTCTGAAATTCACTACTTGCCATTTCTACTCCTCTGTGCCTCCATCCTCTATCTGCTCTTCTGAATCCCCTGCACAATCAACTCCCTGCTGGCCCAGTGCTGTACTTACAGACACCTTCACTTCCATAGGCGAGCTTGGGGGGGATCTGCACAAAGCGCCGCTCGTTCACGCACATGCCGACCAGAGCTTGGTCCATCCCAGCAATAAGTTGACCTTTTCCCACAAACACATTGAATGTGGATCCTCTGTCATAGCTAAAGGGGGAAAGGAGGGCAAAAACATTAGCAGCTCATTCTGGGCTTTGAGCAACCTGGTCTAGTGGAAGATGTCCCTGCCTGTGGCAAGGGGTTGGAGCTGGATGGGCTCTAAGGTCCCTTCCAACCTAAACCCTTCTACCATTCCACCGCTTTGGGGAGTAACACCATAAATTACACCAGCTCGACAAGCTTCATAATCTGAGACATCATGGTTGGGGACTTCCCGTGGGAGAAGAGAGAAAGAGAAAAGATGCCTTTTTGAGTACTAGTTCTGAGATTGGTCAGTGGTTGGTTATTTTCTCCAGCTGGTTACTTATTTTTCTCCTCCACATTCCCATCTCTCACTTAAGGCATAGAGACATGCTTTAAACAACAACTTTGACTGATCAAGAATCAAGAGAGCTAAATGATCTTCCACTGTGATAACACATGAACTTTTGACAAGTAAAAGCAATGATGCTTAAATGATCACTTCTCAGAGAGGCTGGAGAACATCAGCATTGCCACAGCAGAACACTAACATCAGCTTACATGGTTTGGTTGACCACCTTAACTCTGCACAACGATCCCCTTGGCTGTGCCTGAATTACTGCTGCTATTTGACAGTCTGAAGCGATGTATAAACATACAGCAGGAAGTATTTCAAAAGCTTCATGCCTATTTTTAAGCCTTTGCTACTCCCATTTTCTCAAATTCCTTTTATAATTCAAAGGACTTTATTTTAGTTCTCAGATAAAGGCAGCCCTGAAGAAAATAAGTTAATACAAAAGAAATGCTTGTGCCTCTTTTCTGCTGAAACTCTCTGGAAAGTAGCCAGGAGCTAGATATTGCTAGGGAAATGATGTCAAACTTTCCTTCCAGGACCATACACATCACTTCCACAACACACTGAGCCTCCCAACAGTCCCAGAGTGTCAAATCCCTCAAGGATCTCTCACTGAGCGACCTCTCTGTTTGCTCCATCATTTTTTCTTCTGGCAACCGTTTCCCTTAGAACAGACAACCCTCTATACAGAGCACTCACTTTTGGTTGCACAAATATCCCTATTCCCAGGCAAGGGTGGAAAATATTTAAATTAGCTCCTGCCAAATCCTGTTATACACACAAAAACATAATGAAGGTGTTAAGACCAGTAACAGGTTCTAAGAAACCAGATATAAACCTACAGTCAAGAAGACACTGATGCTCAGCAGAAAACAGGGCAAAGCAGTGAACGGATCATGCAGCTCTGCTGGAGTGACTGCAGATTCCTTAAAAATAAGCAAAATTATTAGTTTCTGTTAGTAGAAATTCCCAAATTAACAGCAGATGACTGGGCAAGTCAGTTCAGACTTGAAAGTCCAGATCATTTTATGGCCAGGGAAATAGAAGTGCAAATACTGATGAGGAGGAAAAAAATAAACAGACACACAATAAACATAAATAATAAATTATAATAATAAAAAAGAATATACGATTATAAAGAATAAACTAAGACTCTGTCAACAGCCTGGTAGGAAGAAGAGCAGGATGACCACCTCTGCTTGGAAATACAGGAAAATAGTCTTAAACTGCAAGAATATTTTCAGTAGCTGAGGAAGAAACAAAGTAAAACTGCCCTTAGCTCAACACCCAGAGCATTTTCTAGGCCAATTTCATAGCAGTGTTTGACTAAACTGATGCTGGCAGTAACTTTCAGGAGCTTAAAAAAAAAAAACAATCAACAGGTAGCAATGCAGATAAGTAGAAAAATGAGCTTTTCAATAGGCCAATTTTAGTATATATTGACTGTCTGCAGGGAACACTAAATATTTTATGACAAATACTCAAAAATACTTCTTCCATTAACCTACAGAACATAAACCCCTCATTTTCCATTGTCTTAACATGACAGATCACTGCCGTTGATATTAAAAATAGACCATATTTAGTGAATAACAAAAACTTATGTCAATGTGAGAGAAAATAATACAAGCCAAACAAACCTGACTTTCTGCACCCTCTTGACATGAAGGTGGCCATACAGACACTCAAGTTAGATTAGACTCTCACTGATGTTACTGGTTTACTGAAAGGGATAAACGCTGTGCAGTTCTGCACAGCCTGCTCCTGCTCCAAATGACAAAGAACTTGGACTTAAATGAAAGCCAGCACCTGGGAAGACCCTCCAGGCGCCCTGCCTGGGTGCAGACATGTGCTGGTCCAGCTCAGCCCACCGTAAGCCTCAGTGTGTATCTGCAGAAAGCAGAAGCACACTTCTTAGTACACGGCCGGTTTCCCAGTTGCCACATATTTGTAAAATGAGCCGTGAGGATGCTGCCTCTGTGTGTGCGTGTCCTCACATCTGCAGCTCAGGATGATTCTCCAGGAGTCTCACTTGCCAATGAGTTCACTGTCCTCGCTATGCCTCGTCACTGAAGCTGCACCAACTCCAGTTACTGCATCCCAAATGTTACCCGCAGAAGCACTGGTGAAGGGGCACTACCAGCCACTTCAGCTCCAGAGGAAGAGCTGAGCTTGCACCGAGGGACAGTTACTTCCCTGAGGCAGTAGATTTCTCCTTGAAGCACAAGGAAGATTACCAGGATTACTGAAAGACATTTTGTTTTTTCTTTCTGATCAGTGGTAATGAATGAAACAGGAAAAAAAAAACAAAAAACAAATAAGCCATGGGCAGCATCAACATTCCTCACAAGCTCCTGATCCCACTGTTTAGGCTGTCTGATCCTAAAATAACAGCAGGAAAGCAGCCAGGTTCTTCACTGTACATAGGTCAACTTATCCAAAAACTTTTATGGAAGCACAGCCTGATAACTCTTATATTTCTGGCAATGATAATGATTCAGAAATGTCTGCGTTCCAGAAGGTTTGAACCCGGAGAACACATAGGAAACATACAGAAAGAAACAGGCAGGTTACTGTGAGAGCCTTCAATACCCTATGTGCTCCTGTTTACCAGGCTAACCTAATATCCTTACGGTCTCCTCTCTTGGAGCACAAAGGTTCTGGTGGATGCACTGGAGAAGCAACTGGAAGAATGCAGTGGGGATCCGTCCGGGCACGCAAACCACTGAGAACCGGACCCAGCCTCCACAGAGGTCTCTCTCACCCCCAGTGCCCTGCAATCACACCCCAGCTCTTCACCCTTTCACATTCCAGAGACACCTTCCCATGGGAGCTCTCTGTTCTCGCTCGCACCACACTGCACAGCTTGCCGCTGACCTTCTTCCAAGCGCTCACCCCAGAAGTGCCCATGGGCCGCAGCTGGGATGAGCTGAACCGAACCTCAACCGCAACTTCCATCCCCAGAAACACCCTTAGGGGACCGAGCCGCTCCCTCCCCTGCTCTCCCCGAGAGCACCCTCGCAGGAACCCAAGCCCGAGGGTGCTGCCGGCCAGACCTGGAGTCGAAGCGGGTGCCGTCGGGAAAGGAGCCGAGGTAGTGATAGCGCACGAAATCTCCGGGCCGCACGGCCCGCGGGCAGCTCTCGGGCACGAAGCGCCGCTCGACCCGGAGCTCGGCGCCGTCCGGGGGCGGCTGTGCGGCGGGCACCGGCGGCGCCTGGCAGGCGGCCCAGCTCACCAGCACGGCCGGCAGCACTAGCAGCGCCCCGCAGCATCGGCCCTGCCGCCGCACTGCCGCCGGCCCCGCCATGGAGCGCTGCGAGCGGGCAGCGCACAGCGCTCACAGCGCAGGGAGGGAGGGAGACGCGGAGAAAAGGGGAGAGGCAGAAGCGAGCCCGCCGGCCCTTCCCGGCCCGCCTGCTCCTCCTCCCTCCGCTGCGAACTTGCAGACGTGGATGGAGCGCTCCCACCCGAGACGGGGAGGAGCAGCCTCGGCGCCAGCTCCCCACACGCCGCCGCGATCGGTCCTTCGTCCGTCCGTCCGTCCATCCCAGCGGCTGCCGGTGCGACGTGGCGCTGCCCCCGGGCCGCCCTCCCGGCCTGTCCTGCTCCTGCCCTTCCCTCCTCACACATACATAAGCTCTTCAGCCTGGGAGGGGGCGAAGGCACCAGGGAGGTTCAGTGCTGGGCCTGCACCGCGGCACACGTGCTCCCTGCGCAGTTTGGAATAGCTGTAGGTTTAAAAATCCCATCGCAAATGTGCCATTTTAAAATCACAACTCCAAAGGTAACAAGGTGGCATTGACATCTGCTGCTCGGTGAGCACCAGTCACAGGTATTTGCAACAGCCTGTCAGAGAAACTGTGCAAAAGAGATGGAGAAAATGACCTGAGAAGCACGCAGTGAGGCACCAACATCCATGAGGCATCACAGCCCCAGCTAGCCAGCTCTCCCCTTCTCCCTTTTGACCTTGATGAGGAGGAACTTGGATTTATTGTCCCCTGGAAGTGTTCAAGGCTAGGCTGGATGGGACTTGGAGCAACCTGCTCTAGTGGAAGGCTTCCCTGCCCATGGCAGGGGGTTGGAACTGGATGAGATCTAAGGTCACTTCCAACCCAAACCAGTCTGGGATTCTATGATAAGATCTTGTTATTCATAAATTATAGAACAAGCATAAACTCCACTCAGGTGGACCACTTGCAACAAGAAACCATTGAGGGTGTGATGCAGCGATCGAGCCTGAGCATCTTGTCCCACAAGCCCAGCTCCCCGTTCTTTGCACAGCCACCAGCACACTAACACAATCACCCTGCAGCAGAAGGGATGCAGCCAATCAAAGTGTTTTAAAGTGCTTTCATAAACACTCTTGTGTAACACTGATGTATTGCTAGGAGATGCTGGCTGCTCTGTGACCTAACCAGTGAAAAAAGTTGGCAACTCAGGCAGCTATTTGAAGATAACCAGATTTGCTGCTACAGATCCAACAACAGTCATGCTACAGGTCCCAGATCAGCCCTGCAAAGCATCCTTTAAACAAGACATGTAGACTGTCTGGCAGTTGCCTAGATTGAAATAGCTTTTTTTGATGTTAGTTTGTATGGACACGCTCTATTTTCTTAAGGAGAACACACAGGTAACCACTGGAGTATGTTGATACAACCAACACAAAGCTTGCCCTGCATCTGGCACTTCTTTTTGCCAGGTGGTGACACAGCCTTTGGGTTTTGCCCATTTATTTAGAAATTCTACATTTTCAAAACAACTCCTTGGACTCTTTAATATTTATACAGTTTTGTACTCAACTTTGTGCTGGGCTGCATAAAATGGAGTGTGGCCATCAGGCTGAGGGTGGGGATTCTCCCCCTAGTCTGCTCTGGTGAGACCCCCCTGCAGTCCTGTGTCCAGCTCTGAGGCGACAACACAAGAGGGACGTGGAGCTGTCGGAGCGAGTCCAGAGGAGGCCACAGAGATGCTACAAGGGCTGGATCTCCTGGCTGGAGCCAGACTGAGAGAGCTGAGCTGGTTCAGCTTGGAGAAGTCTCCTTAAGGAGAGGCCTTAGAGCAGCTCCAGTGCCTAAAGGGGATACAAGAAATCTGGAGAGGGGCTTTTTAAGAGGGCATTCAGTGACACAAGGGAGCATGGCTTAGTTTGAACACTAACCTGGCTGCCCAGGAAGCATTTTGGAGATGCTGACCACTACTGGATTGCCTGTTCTTCAGTCAGCCCAAAACACAGCAATGACTAAGAGTGTAAGTAGGGAGATAGGTACAGACATGCCTAACGCTTCTAGAGAAGCCAGTTCCTGATACCACTGGTGTGTAACCTGAGGTGCTGTTCTGCTCCTTGGAATGTGCTTGAAGCCAAATGCCAGGCAGTCATGATGTAAATTACAGTGTTTGCCACACATTCGGTTATATCAACATAGAAGAGGTTGTGACTAGTGAAATATTCTGCTGAGTAGCCATTGGACTTACCCAGTGCTTACCCACTAACTGTTCTCAATTACCCATCACACAGCTAAAATTACAGGCCTGAAGGTTCAGTCCTTGGATGCCTCAAGTGTATACTGTGTTTTGATATTGAGGTTCTCTAAAAAGGTAGCATACCCAAAGAGGAAAACATAGAGTGGATCTGGGATATTTTCTAAGTACTCTCTCAATTACAGATCAAGAAAAGCAGAAGGAGTCCTTTTTTTCTTAGAAAGAACATATCAAATGCTACAGCTTGCAGGTACCTTGAAGTGATGGCAGGTAAATTTAGAGGAAACTCAGATTTCTGCTCATGGCAGGGAGTTGGAACTAGATGATCTTAACATCCTTTCCAACCCTAACTATTCTATGACTCTGGAAGTAAAAAAGTAAGAGCAATGAGAAACACAGCTTGAATAGATATAAAATCTAATTAAAAAAAAAATGCCAGTCTGCTTCTAATCAGTAGGTCATGTTCAGAGAGGTCACAGAATGATGGGCTTGGCTGTATAATCTGTATGAACTATGAATTACTTACTTCTACCCTCTGCAGCTTTCCACAGCTGCTCACCTCGGTATGTGCTCTCTTTCAAACTACTAAGAAGTTTCTTAGAGAATAGTTTTGGGTTACAACTAATGTGAAAGAACCATTATGCTCTCTCTGCTGAGCTGAATTTCAAGTGAGGAAAAGGAAGGCCCCAATTATAACTCAAAGCTAATTTCTCCTAAGCATCTGTAAACTCTTTGGAGATCTTCAGATACTTTGAAACTACCACAGAAGCACAGTGTATCTACACATTTTAAGTATTAAATATGGCTAAACTATATTCATTGAGGATCCTCAGTAAGTATTGGTTTGAGTAAGCAGCATTTTGAACAAATACTATTTTATTTTATGCAGCTACATGGTAAGTTCAGAACTCCTGGAACCTGAAACAGCTCTTTGTACCCAAATAATTTTAATAAAAATTCTATCAGTTACACAGAATTACATTAGGAGTAATTAAATTTATTGTCAATGGTGTGACTCATGAGGGTCTAACAATGACCCTAAATGCCTTTTTTGACCAAAAAGATCCAGGTGATTTGGGCTTTTTTCTTTGGTGGGCCATAAGAAATACTGTGCCACAGAGCTCTTTACTTGTCACAGAGTGTCCTGGGTTCAGCAGTAGCAGTCATTTTTCTCCTTCTTGGTAGCTGGCGCAGTGCTGTGTTTTGACTTTCTGCCTGGGAACAGCGCTGATAAAACCAATGATGTTTTGGTTTGGCCAAGGACTTTGTGAGCCTCATGCTCTGCCAGGGAGGAGGGGAGGCTGGGAGGAAGCAGAGACAGGACACCTGACCCAAACTGACCAAAGAGGTATTCCATACCACAGCACGTCATGCCCAGGAGGTAACTGAGAGTTACCTGGAAGGGCTAGGACTACATGGTTGGAGGAGGTATTGGTGGGTGCTTGGTCTGGTGGGGTGGGGCTGGTGCTGAGGTGTTGTATTCTCTTCCCCTATTATTTCCTTTATCATTATTATTATTGGTGGTAGCAGTAGTGATTTGTGTTATACCTTAGTTACTAAACTGTTCTTATCTCAACCTGTGGGAGTTGCATTCTTTTCGATTCTCCTCTCTGTCCCTTCAGGAGTAGGGGAAGGGAAAGAAGGGGGGGGCAGTGAGTGAACAAGTTGCCTGACCACATGCCTAAACCAGGACACAGAGTCATGCTGGATTGATCAGCCACCTCCACATGCAGATTGCATTCTGATTTGTTACTGGTAGTAGTTTAGCAGTAAAAACACAAAAGTGCACAGAGCATAAGAAGTGGATACATTTTAAATTGTGGATACCTGTAGGCACATTTCACTTACTCCAATACATCTTCAGTTGCTCTCTACTCCACCCACTACGGAGGTTCGAAGTAAGTCAAACAAATAGCAGGTAATCAGTGTGAATCACTACTCACTTCCAGACGCTGCCATGCCAGGAGAAAGTCTCACCTGCCACTAGGTACTCAGCATCTTCCCTGCAGAGGGTCACAACATAATGAGGCACACTAACAGCTGTCCTCATTAGTGCTTATCAGCTTGTCATTCAAAAAGTTTTCAGGTCTAAATACCCTTGAAAATAGAGAGCATGGAGGTTAAACCTTATCGTTTCAGAAAAGCTGAAATTTCAACATAAATATGAAATCAGTTACCAGATTTTCAGAGAAGTTCCTCTATGGAGGAGATAAACTGAAAATCTGGCCATTAGTGACATACCTCATGGACTGTGAGTAGCTGGAAACAAGATGGCAAATGCGTTGGGTAACAAATTATCAAAACTCATGTGAAATAAACCATAGTCTATATATATTATAGAATCACAGAATCCCAGACTGGTTTGGACTGAAGGGACCTTAAAGCTCACCCAGTTCCAACACCCTGCCATGGGCAGGGACACCTTCCACTAGAGCAGGTTGCTCCAAGCCCCGTCCAACCTGGCCTTGAACACTGCCAGGGATGAGGCAGCCACAGCTTCTCTGGGCACCCTGTGCCAGCACCTCAGCACCATCACAGGGAAGAACTTCTGCCTAAGAGCTCATCTCAGTCTCCCCTCTGGCAGGTTAAAGCCATTCCCCTTTGTCATGTCTCTACATGCCCTTGTCAAAAGCCCCTCTCCAGATTTCTTGTAGCCCCTTTAGGCACTGGAAGGCTGACCCTTCTCCAGGCTGAACAAGCCCAGCTCTCTCAGCCTGTCTCCATAGCAGAGGTGCTCCAGCCCTTGGAGCATCTCCATGGTCTTCTCTGGACTCGCATGCACAATCTCAGAAACTGCGCAGAGAGGAGCAGTTTCTGCAACAAGGATGTTGTCTAAAATGTATTCA